TGTGACTTAAAGGCTGCTGTGCATGGCTCTCTACTCATTGTGAGGTGATAAAATGCTTCATCTTGAAAATTGACTTAGCTAATGGAAACTGCTCCATCAAAGGCACTCGGGGAACACGGATGCCCTTGCTTTTGTCTGAGGGGAGACATGACATGATGAAACGAGCGTTGAGAAGTTCAGTCAGCCAAATAATAAATATTCCACAGACTTTTCCAAATGCAATTCAAAAACAGATACATGCAACCCTAATCACTTTTAACTTTAAATCAGTAGATATGTTTTTGGAAAGCTGACCAACGGACAAGATCACAGAGAGTGAAAATTGCACATGACGCAAACCAGCTTGCATTAATGCTGTAGATTGGTGCATTGATGTGGATGAACGTATACAGAGTTTTGTGAAGAATAACTATTAGGCCTGAAGTTGTAATCAGATGGTTGATAACCTCTCATTTTGTCGTCATGTACATGTTTGCGGGTGCGTGTTTTGCTAGTCTGTCATGACTTTGGTCATTTTGTCACATTTTTTGCTCAGACTGGCTTTTCCACAGTAGCATCTTGAGGTATTTAGCCTGACTGATCTCTGCTGAAGTCGGTTTTGCAAAAAGTATGGCCTGCGTGAACTTTGGTATACAAAAATTCTTCTCTGACTGATACAAGCTGCACTTATTGGAACTTTGCAGCAGCTCTATAGATGAGTGGATGCATTTTGTTTTTACAGTAAGGGCATGTAATTTAATATGTAGAACATATAGAATTCTGTGTATCTAATTATGTGATTGGTTTCAACAGGTCAAAGATTATACCATTCAAATCAATGAGATGCAAGAACTGTTCAGAAAGAAGTCCAGTGACTTTAACATGATCCAGGAAGGAATGAATAAAATTAAGGAGTTTCACAAGAGGAAGGCCCAGATGGAGCAGGAGCTCAGTGATGTGAGATTAAAAAAAAACATATAAAATGTTTCTTATAAAGGGTTCTGTCTGTCAGGATGTAAATGCTATTGGTAACCATGACCTTTTTATTTTGTAGATAAGAGAAAACATGGATGTTGCTGAGAAGGAGCACAGGGAAAACCTAAACAAAATTGAGTACAGATTCTTCAAAGAAAAGGTATTGTCAAGTCTAAAAAAATCACCTAAAAATGATCACTTTGGAAGATAATGACGAGGAGAAATTGCAGTGAAATAGATCTGATTTGAAAATATATCAGTCAAGCAGTTAGAGCTGGCAGTTAGATAATGGCTGATATTGTGCCCGGGTGAACATCGAATGAGTTTTGAAAATTTCTGTGCAGGCTCGCCTGGAGAGGGAAGCCGAGCGAACGATAGCCCTGGTAGTGGAGAGGGCCCACAATGAAGCCATTGTGTGAGTGTGTTACCGCTGTCCCTTTACGATCTAATTTTATTCTTCAATCTGCCCTTTGATGTGCTCAGAACGCAAAGAAAAAATAATTTACTCACATTGGTGTTTATGTGTATAAATATATTTAACTAGAACTAATGTTATTTTCTTGACCACACTGATTCACCATGTTCCGATAGTGTACATCACTGAAGCCAACGATCACATCTTTAGCTGCTTCAGGATGTCCTGCAGGGAGGAGAGTGTAACGCGTGTGTGGAAGACCATAGTTTATTACTTTTGAGGCCATACGATGTACATTTCACCTCCGCTATGTTTAGGTATTTTTACAGATCATAAAACATCAACATTGATACTGGTGTGGTCCTGCCAGTTTGGTCTTTGTGGCAGTAATTAATTTAGTTTTGAACACACTCAGCTTGTCTTTAAAAGTCAAGTACACTGACCCAGTAAATTCAATGTAGGAACCACGAAACTGAGAGCAGAAATGTGTGATATGATCAACACAGTCAGAGCCTTTACCACCTTGACTGATAAACTTCTTTAAATATTTCATAAAGAATTTGTTTTTATACTACCTAAAAAATCTTCTTAAATATGTAGAAATGATGTTGGGCATAAAATTAAGATTCATAGAGATGTTTTCATGATTGGAGACACATTTTTTGAATGGCCTTTGTGTTTGTCCTGTGAATTATTTAGGCAGTTGGACGATGCCTCGCGCTCTGTGTTCAAGGAGAACGTCCGTCTCAATGAAGCGCTGAAATATCATATCAAGGAGGCAGAGGACCTGCAGAAATTGACACTTTCATTGACTAAGGAAAATGCCTCTTTGGCACTGGACAAGGTATGTTTGAACCATAGGACAGCAAACAGCAGTGTTACTATTAGGCACCGGCAGTCCTTGGACAGAGACCATTCATTTCCACAAAGTCATTCTCAATCATTTCAGTTATGAAACGCTTGTCAGAGCTGTGCAGAATATACTTCAGGTGGTTTTTCCCTTGTGTTGTTTACTTGTGCTGACCCTGTGTATTTTGCTTGTGGTCTTACTCCTATCCCCCCACCTCCTGACTCCTACCCAGCCTCTCAGTGGTTAGTGGTTATGGTGAGTTTCCACTGGTGTATGGGTTCAAATTTAGTGGCTTCTCCTTTGCAGGTTTCTGGCACTGACTCTTTAAGACAAATAAATATTGGGCACATTAATCTTACCTCTGATGACAGTAAATCAAGGGAGTAAATCCACCTTGTTGAAGCTTTGGCCACTCACTCAGCAGCACAGGCTAGCACACAAATCATTATATGTTCTAGCACCATATTGGCATGAAAATGAAAGGATTTTCCAAAATTAACACTGTGTCTTTGATTTTATTACTTTGCTCTTCTGTTTACTCACCCAGGAAACATTTGAGTTGATAGTAAAGAAAAATGCTGCTCAGATGGAAGCCCAAAAAGAAGAGCTATCCAAGCTGAGGGCCATGGTAACTTACCTGGAGCAGGCCCTCAAGCTAAAAGCTGGGGAACCTGAGCGAGAGAGGAAGGAGAAGGAGAGGACAGTGATCAGCATCCAGGCCAGCCAGGTAGAGCTGGAGAAGCTGCAGAAAGTGCTTGCCATGCGGGAGAAGGAATTGGGCCACATCAAGCGGCTAGCGAGCACCATTGTAGAGCAGCGTACAGAGCTGGAGCTGTTCTTCCATGAGGCTCTGGCTCAGGTGAGGCAGGAGATCATGGCCAGCAGGCTGCAATACAAAAAGGAGGCACTACAGGCTTATCGCTGGAGGCTGAGAGACGCCACTGCAGGAAAACTTAAATTTCCACCCATCCGCACCTTTCATAAAAGCCCCCACAGTACCAACTCTGTCCATTCAGACATGGAGGCGGCTGCAAGGTGGTAGGTCCCCTTCCCAGCATTTCCATGACTTCTACAACTGTGTGGCTTTGTGATATTTTTAATTCTTTATGCTGCTCATCATCAAAGTAACCTTCAGCTCTTCATGGTTCAGCTTAAGTCTATATATGTATTTGTACAATAGCAGAGGTTAACTTTCATTATGATTTCATCCACCTGTTTTAAGGACTTATCAACCAGGCAGCAACGTTGAAATCTCAGATCTCACTTGGGAGCAAAAGGAACAAGTGCTCAGGCTTCTCTTTGCTAAAATGAACAGACAAAGGGAAAGGTAATAAAACCTTCCAAAAATTATATTATGTTTGTATTAGCAAAAGACATGCTGCTTTCTTGTTTATTGCTCATTGACATCCTAAATAATACCGTACAATCCACTAGTAATCCCTGAAAATGGAGTGAAACTTCTAGATCAATTAGCCCTGAAGAACAAAGTGCAGTGACACCAAGCTGTAGTTCGGGCTGAACCTCTGGTGACTCCTCCCTCTTTTTAATGTTTTAAACAGCCATTTTCTCAGCAGAAGAGGATACTATAAAACATAAGTTAGGCTTCAACCAATTTTCTTTTCCATCCAGTTGCTTAAAAAGAATGAAGAAAGAGTCTGGGCACAATAGTAAAAATAGGTCCAGCCGCAGAGTCGTGTGCTTGGAAACAAACATCTGGTCACGTCGATTTGCCTTCAGCCTATTGGCCCCTCTTCACGTGCACTAGCAGTTTATTTTGTTCTTTGAACACTTGTGGTCAGAGAGCAGCTGGTAACATGATTTTCAGAAATGAGTGTGCAGGGGATCTGGATGTATGGGGGTATGGCAGGCAAGAGGAGATATATATTCATGTTAACAGTGGTCTGGCACCTAGTCCAGCAAAATAACACAGAATATTTAGCAACTCAAGTCAGTTAGCAGCATCCAAATCCATGTGCATTGTGTAACCGCTTTCCAAGACAGTGGGCTAAAACATGCCTTTTCACTATGAATTTCTGTATTTAACTGCAACGCTGCATTTTCCTGATAGGAACGCCAGGGAACATCCGGCTTTGTCGGACTCCTCTGAGAAGAAGAGCCTTTCTGAAAGCGATGCTGCCGGGTAAGACACTGAAGGAATGTATGAGAGTAAAAGTTGTTCCTCGTCCTTGCAATTACAAAGCCTGTACAGATGTTTTGGTCCCACATTCCATGTTTAGCTGAAAAAGCATTGGCTGTGAGAACACAAGTGCCTACATATGATTTATTAGACAGTTGCATTTCAGCGTTGCATAATGATGACTGTCTTCCAAAATTAGAGAGGAGCTATCCCAGGCGACCTTCATCACCCAGGCGCCTGAGCCCACTTTGTCCTCGAACCCGAAGAGCCTACCGGATATACATACCACATGACCTCCGTGTGGCCTCTACATGTTACATCACACTGTGGATTGTTTGCCTCTGTGTCAATCATGTGTATAGTAGAATACAGGATGTTTGTTTACTCATTATAAATATCTTACTGTGCATATGGCGTGTGAGTGTTCTTTCATACATGAAGCTTGTTTGAATTCTGTCACAACCCATTTTAAAGGATCTGCTCCTTCAAGACAATACAATTTTTTGTGCCGATACCAAAATATGCACCAGAGTAGATATACAAGATCTCCAAACAGTCGTTGGCTGGAGGGGCAGTGGAATACAATACAGTGTGTCCATGCAACCTCCATTCATGGAGATTATACACACACCTCACTGTAAATACACAAGAGTTTCAATACTGGTGTATTTGAGGAAATGACATTGATCCAGTAACATTGCCTCAACTGTACAGTTTGCTTTGTTAAAATCTTGGCCACAGTGGTTTACAGTTCAGTACATAGTATCTTTACATACACATCTAATGTAAAAGTCTTATGTAATAAAGTATTATGTAATAAATTGCATTATGAACTATTCACATTGAACACACAAGTCTGTTTTGCGTGTGGAAGAAGGGTGTCTGGGTTTTTATCAGAATGAACAGCAGCGCTTGGATGGAGTATTTAGCGTCCCATTGTAGGCATGGTGACAGCAGGACTTTTCAAGGTGGCATCTTCAGCTTTCCATTGCGAGGTCACAGTTTTGGTCTGTGTGTAGAACTGGATGCCCTGGAGAGAAAAAATAAAGACCATTTACATCAAAACGTAAACTGCTCCATCTATGTTTTTCTCATACCTGTCACAATAAGATGTGTATGTTTATTTCATACTTGTTTTCCATAGAAGTTCATGTCCCCTCTGAAGGATCCTCTTGATCCAGTGAAGGAGAACATGGGCAGTGGAACAGGGATGGGGACATTGACTCCAACCTGCAAAAACAAGTATTTTCCCTTTCATTTCTATAAGTGCAAGCTTTGTAAAACAATCACACAGGATCCTAAATTGCTAGGATGCGCAAGATGCAGCTGATGAGAGATGTGGTATATCCATGCTGTTTAAAAAAACAATCTTACATGATCGCACTAAACAAAAGCTAAACCAGCAGCGTATATTTGGCGTTTTCAAAGCACAGCATGCACTTATGAAAGAGAAGAAAAACTAAATAAAACATTTTGTTATGAAGGGAATAGAGGCATGGCATGGTTGATTTAGAATGTTTGAAACAGCGGGAATAAGTGTGGACACACTAAGGCCTTTTGGCGAAGGTGCAGGGAGAAAAAAAAAAAAGGAAAAGGCAGATGTTTGTTGCATCGAGGTTTGGAGAGGAGTACAGCACATGGCCTGCACAGCATTCCCCGACATGTGAACAGCAAACACAGGACATAACTAAGGCTCCACAGGCAAACAAACAGGGTAAAGTCTGTCCATGTTCATGCTTAAACGTTGAACAGGACCCCAGGAATCCCTTTTCGTTTAATTTAAGATTTTCCTCCTCGAATGTTACCTGGAAAAATGTTTCTATGTCCCCCTGTTTTCATTTAACGGACACATATTTGCTGTAGCTATTTGTAGTCTTGACTGGTGGGGAAGTGGAGGGAAGGGGGTTGCCGAATGTGTTTATTTTAGGTTAGGGGTAAACAAGGCTATACTTAACATAGAAAATAATAGTTTTTTTAATGTGTGTGAAGGTTTTCAAACAGAAATGTAATGTGCTCCCTGCTTGCGATGCTGTGCAGACATGACAGAGGGATGTGAATGTCTCCTTTCTCCCAAAACAGGGGAACACATTTGGAGGCTGCAGCCACTCACCTGGCCCACGTCCACCTCGTGAGTGTATTTGCGTGCAGTGGCGCCATTTGTGGTGAAGATGGCTGTACCGTTGCCATAGGGGTTCCTGTTGACCAAACTGATGGCATCATCCAATGTGTCTGCCTCCAGGATGACCAACACCGGCCCAAAGATCTCTTCAGTGTAGCACTTCATCGCAGGCTGTGAGAGCACAAAAGGAGAAAGTTGGTCTTAAAAGCAGTTCTTAACTCGGATGAACATGCACTTAAAGATATGAAACGTACGTACTGTGACATTGGCGATGATGGTGGGACCTACAAAGTTGCCGTTCTCGTAACCCTTGACCTTGACGTTTCGGCCATCCAGGAGCAGCTTAGCTCCCTCATCCACACCACTCTGGACCAGACTGCAGACTCTCTCCTTGGCCTGGGGAGAGATCAGAGGCCCCACGTCTGCACCAGGCTGGTCTCCTAGCAGGGCCCCATAAACAACCAGCTATAAGGTTACATAGTGTGGCACTCGCATGATGTGAGCACATTAAGGGCACCGACATTCAAATGCGTCTTTTTCCACAAACATGAAAAAAGCCAGGACGAGGGGCACCCTGAGGCACTCCTTCAAAAACGGATACTTACGGGTTTCCTGTGTACCACACAAATTAGAGTCCATATCATTGCAAACAGGGAGAATTCCTCCATTTATTCCACATCAACTTCCTTTCTCAAAGGATTTGATGCTCTGAACCGCTATTTAGGTCTGGGCCGCAGATCTGGCCACAAATTTGCAGCATGGCTTACTCAACTAGCCCTCTCTCCCAGCTGACTCCGATGTAAAGTTACAACAGGGTAAAAGTCGAGAGGTGTGGTTAGGGCGGCTTGGGTGGCCCCGAGATGACTAAACCTAAGGCCCTCGGGGGCTCAGGAGAGGCCAGAGGTGAAGGGCGGAGTGACAAGGCGTGGTACCTGCGTTCACGCGCAGAGCCTTGGAACGCTCCACCAGCTCTGGCAGCCAACTCCGCGCCTCGCCCACCAGGATGGCTGTGGACAGAGCCATGCAGCGCTGTCCTGCTGCCCCAAACGCTGCACCCACAAGCTGGTTCAGAGTGTTCTCCTTGTTGGCATCAGGCATCACCACACCATGGTTCTTGGCTCCCTACAGTACATGAAAAGTGGTTAGCCTTCTGCTGTTTGAACTCCACATTACAGCATCTGGTTAGTCACAAGTGAGAACATAATATCAGGGAATTGTATACAAATATATGTACAAGTTGTAGAGAGTAAATTAATTCCACATTTGAGGCCATATGGAATTTATAAACACTAATTAAGATAAATAGATGGAACATTTACAATTCAAAATTCAGTCTGGCTCTTCAACAGTAATGCATAGCTGCAATCTCTGCTTTGCACCTCATCTCATCTGCTCAGCTGGCAGTGAGGAGGGTCGAAGACGCAACAAGAATACGTTGGCCAATGCTGCCACCTTCTGGACATTTACAGCAGGTATCAGACATTATACCAGTGTTGCAATTATCATTTGATACTCACCATATTCGACTGGACCCTCTTGCCATTTTTAGAGCCCCTCTCATAAATATACTCCCCAGCTTGGTTTGAGCCAACAAAGCTGATTGCCTTGATGGCCGGATGGTCACAGATGAAATTCACAGCTGTGGCAGAAAGACAATCAAATAAACTTTATTAACTTATACGATATCCTTTAATCAAACAGTAATTAATAACTACAGACATTTCAAAGACTGTGTGGTAAGCATTACAGAATAATATCAAGCAATGATCCCAATGCTGAAATAAGTCAATTATGATTTTGAATTGTCGTTTGTCTAAATGCTAATCAGTTATGAGGTAACAATAATGCCAAGATTACACCATTACTAAGTGAGACATTTTAAGATAAAACCTTTTGTTTTTACAATTTGTGATCAGCTACACTTTTAATTTTTGTCATATTCATCAATGTACCAAAACAATAAGGACAAAGAAAAGAGCAAATCTTTGAAGAAAGTGGATGCAAGCAATTGTTTGGTATTTTCTCTTGAAAAATTACTAAAGCCAATAAACATTTGTGAAAATATTTGCTGATTAACTTTCTGCTGACTTTTGACTTGAGTGTTAAACTAAAAAGGAATAGCTAAAAACTGATATTATTTTACCTAGACATATCTGACCAATATTCATTTTGATGTTTAATGTGCATTAATTTCAGACTCTGGCATCCTGCATTTCAGGTCATCAAGCGGTCCAGATAATTGTGATAAACACAGTTTCTGTATCCACACTACAGATTAGGTTAAGACACAAAGCAGAATGTTGTGACAGTGATGGCTAAAGGTTCCCAGCTCTCTTCAGGTCATTGACCAGGTCCTGCCATGTAGTTCTGGGATGATCCCTCACCTTCCTCACAATCACTGATGCCCCACGAGGTGAGATCTTGCATTGACCGTCATCTTGAACTTCTTCCATTTTCTAATAATTGCGCAAACAGTTGTTGCCTTCTCACCAAGCTGCTTGCCTATTGTCATGTAGCCCATCCCAGCCTTGTGCAGGTCTACAATGTGGAGTGGAGAACAGGAGGGCTTCTTAAAGAAGAACTAACAGGTCTGTGAGAGCCGGAATTCTTACTGGTTGGTAGGTGACCAAATACTTATGTCATGCAATAAAATGCAAATTAATTATTTAAAAATCATACAATGTGATTTTCTGGATTTTTGCTTTAGATTCCGTCTCTCACAGTTGAAGTGTACCTATGATAAAAATTACAGACTCTACATGCTTTGTAAGTAGGAAAACCTGCAAAATCAGCAGTGTATCAAATACTTGTTCTCCCCACTCTAAAAGATCTTTTCTTTACCAGTTCTTGTAAAAATACCTCAGGAATTTTGTTGTTTAGTGGTAGCTTAAGAGGGTAGCCATTTATGAGTCTGTTTGATTTGGGAAACTGATTTTTTTTGATCAGCACAGAGGGAGCAGATGCAGGAGATCAGTCACTGTGTCACAAGACCTAGACATATCTGACCAATATTCATTTTGATGTTTAATGTGCATTAATTTCAGACCCTGGCATCCTGCATTTCAGGTCATCAAGCGGTCCAGATAATTGTGGTAAACACAGTTTCTGTATCCACACTACAGATTAGGTTAAGACACAAAGCAGAATGTTGTGACAGTGATGGCTAAAGGTTCCCAGAGACCAACTCTTACCAGCGTGTTGGCCGTGGATGATGTTGAGCGCCCCGTCTGGTGCACCGGCATCCTGCAGCATCTTGGCCAGTAGCATGGCGCAGGTTGGCACCCGCTCTGAGGGCTTCAACAAGTAGGTGTTGCCGCACACCATGCCCATGGGGAACATCCATAGAGGGATCATGGCAGGGAAGTTGAAAGGCGCGATCCCAGCACACACCCCAAGGGGCAGGCGGAAAGTGTAGGTGTCCATGTCCTTGGTGATGGAGGGCAGAGTTTCCCCGAGCATCAGAGAGGTGATGCTGCAGGCGTGCTCCACAACCTCTGCAAAGAAAAGACATGAACAGATCATGCAACACATAAGTTCATTTGTTTTTGTTTCTTTTTGCAGATATTTTTATATATTCTATATATTTATAATAATCCAATCTGAGTCAGATTCAGTCAATTATATGTAATTGCACATAGACAAGTTGTCATTGTTTGACTGTGCCGACTTTGTGTGGAAGCGAGACTGTCTGTGGTGGGAAACCTCTACAAAAAGAGACAATTAGGCTTCTCATTTCATCTCTAAGATTGTGTGTTTAATTTGTTTTGACGAGTGTTAACATCTTTAAAGACAAAATGTACTTTTAGAATTACAATGATGTGTTGGTGATATGAGTGGGGAAAGAAAGCTAAATCAGATTTTTATATCACCTTCAAAAAATTGTTCCTCCCTTCCCAAGATGTAGGGGAAAGGTAAAAATACCAGTCAATAAGATCTAAACTTTCTCCAATGCAAAGTGAACAGTAAAATTATACCAGGGAAGTAACCCAGCTACTGTAAGAATATTCAAGAGCAAGAACATGTTTTCAGAACAAACTACACTAAATGACTTGGCAAGGTGGATATTTCACAGCAATAATACAATCATTTAAAGAGCTCATGAAGAAAACCGCCCTTTGTTCTGGTTTACCCAGATACAGAAGCTAGTATAACAGTATTATGTATGGTATATCATTAACTATTCCTGTAACCACGAAGTAAAAGTCTGCATAACATGCAAATGTTTACCAATTTGTGCCCTTTGTAAAGGTATGTGTGTGCACCTTTGTGAGTGAGATAAACTTACGCAATCCTCTGAATACATCCCCCTCTGCATCTGCAAGGGTCTTGCCCTGTTCCACTGTGATGGCTTTGGCAAGTTCTTTCTGAAACACAAAGATGATACTCATGTCATTCCTTTGTTTTGTAGCTTTTTTTTTTTTTTTTTTACATTACAGGAATCCTTGCTGCCCTCCACAACAAGCTTAACAGTGCTAAATAGTAAACTCTTGTGTTCAGTTGCACCTTATATTTTTCAGAACCTTTGACTTACAATGTTGTCCTTGATAAGCTGCTGATAGCGCAGAAAGACCTGCTGCCGTGCCAAGATGGACGTCTCGGACCAGGAGCGAAAGGCTCTGGAGCACGAGTCCACAGCAGCCAACATCTCCTCCTGCGTGGCTTTGGGTACACGGGAGATCACCTCGTTGGTAGCCTGCAGAGGAGGGGGGAAAAAAAGGAGAAAAATGCACATTTATTAGCTAAAGATTAATTAGTTTGTTTGAGTTTCAGATACAAATGACAGGATTTCCACACAGGAAACATCTATGCTTGCTATGTTATGACTTCCAGGTGGAGCTGAGGTTTAAGTCACATTTCATCGGCGATCATCGTTTTGTATTAATGTACACTTGATTTTAATTCTGATGTGTCAATACTCGACAAAAGTACTGTGAATCAGCTCATACCACAAATCCAAATACATTTTGGATTTTAGACCAATTTCAAAGATTCTAGAAAGAATTGTCCAAACAGCTGCTACTGGAAAATAAAAAATTATTTGAAAAGTTTCATACTGGTTTTAGGAAGTACCACAGCACTGAGACTGCCCTGCTTAAAGTCACCAATGACCTTTTAATGTCTGCTGATGAAGGCATGTGCTCAGTCCTGGTACTCCTGTACCTTAGCGCTGCTTTTGACACCATTGATCACAACATCCTGTTAGACAGACTGAGGCACTGGGTGGGGATCTCTGGTACTGCCCTTGAATGGTTTTCATCCTACCTGTCAAATAGGAAGTTTTGTGTGTCTGTAAACAACTATGTCTCCTCATTCTGTCCAGTTAAATATGGAGTGCCTCAGGGGTCGGTCTTAGGACCCATTTTGTTTTCCTTGTATCTGCTTCCCCTTGGACATATTATCCATAAACATGGCATTTCTTTTCATATTTATGCTGATGACACACAAATATACTTGCCTGTCAGATCCACAGACCCTGGAATGCTGAGTTCACTTAACAACTGCCTTTGTGAAGTTAAAAAATGGATGTCAAATAATTTCCTCCAGCTGAACTCAGACAAAACAGAAATCCTGGTCATCGGGTCTCAGCAGATGGCAAATCAAATACTGCCATCTGCTGGTTCCCTAGTAAATCACATTAAGCCTGTGGCAAAGAACCTTGGTGTTTGGTTTGATAGTAATTTAAATTTCGAGCAGCACACGACAAAGCTTGTTCAATCATGTTTTTATCAACTTAGAAATATAGCTAAAATTCGATCTATGTTAACTTTTAAGGACACCGAGACCATTTTACACGCCTTTTATTTTATACGCCTCGTACCTTGAGGTCCTCGGGCAGAGGTCTGTTGTCTGTTCCAGAGTCTCGACTGAAAACTAAAGGGGACAGAGCGTTTGCTGTCAGGGCCCCAAGGCTCTGGAACAGCCTGCCCGAGGAAATCAGGTCGGCTGAGTCAGTGAACTCTTTTAAGTTCCTTCTTAAAACATACTTTTATAGGAGAGCCTTTCCCGATCTTATTTGACTTTATTTTATCCCTTTTATTTTATTGTATTTTACTAATTTTATATTAATCTGTATTTTAGTCTTTCAATGTTTTCATGCTCTTATCTTGTTTTTTTGTTATATTCTTTACACTTGTTAAAGCACTTTGTAACTTGTTTTTGAAAAGTGCTCTACAAATAAGGATTATTATTATTATTATTATATATTAACACAGGTTAAGCAACTCCACAGGTCTGAGCCATGTCAGAGCTTCCAAACCATAGCATAGCATCATGAAGCACTCAGCCACAGCTGGTTTTACCTAACCCAACTACCTATGTAGTATAAAAAAGGTGCACCGTTTCAGGCACAAGTCCACGTAAAACACTTACAGGATTGTGAATATCCATCCATTCTGAAGTCTTTGATTCAACAAACTTCCCATCAATGAACAGCTTGGTGGTGGGCTGTGAGGATAGATGTTACATCACATCTGTATTTAGTCATTAGTCAGTAGGTTCATCATCCATGTATGGCATTTGATGTAAAGTGGAACAGCAGACTGACAATTAAGTGTAAACTGCTCTCCACTCACCACTGAGGAGGAGTAGCACATGTGGCCAACTTTAAGCGGGACCTGAGAAAGAAACACAGCAGGAATATTATCAACTGCAATAAATATTATCAATCTATCCAAAAACTATAATTAAAAGGTTTGCTTTACATAAAACCAGCTGCAGCCTGAAGGTCGAGAGATTAATACACTACAATGTGTGGAGTTGTGAAAAGGTTTGAAGGGATCAAAGTCAAGCTCACTGGAGTAAACTGGAAGTATGAATGCAGTCCACCCAGCAGGTGCAGACTGACACGTTTTCTTTGTTTTAAGTAAAGTACAATGTACACACAGAATAGCTTAAATAGGCAACTTTCATACACTAAGTCAGCTCATAAGAGGTGGTCCCTTATCAAAAAGCAGTCAGATAAAATACAATCAATATTCCTCTGAAGATTAGAAACAAGTGCAGTTATTACCAAATGTGACAAATAAATGTGTAAAGCAATCCAGACCTACACCCTGCAGCACATGACACCTGGAACTCTATCAACAATGTGAGATGTCAAACCTGCCAGCATCATATGCAACTGTTTTTTTCTTTTTTACATCTTACCTTTGCCTTTAGCACCGACCTCAATGCCGTCGTCGCCATGGCTGGAAATGTTATTAAGTGTGGGTCGATTAGATTTGACCAACTCTGCGGGTAGGCCGGTGTCCTGACGGTGACAACGTTCAGTCTTCTTCACAGAGACGTATTACCTGTGGGCGGGCTCCGAGGAAATCTCAGGCTTGCTATTCACTGCATGTTTGCACGCCCAGGAATAACACTGCCTGATTGGTCAAATGTGGGCGCATTCTATCCAATCCCTAGTTGAAGCTTTAGATAAACCTGCCTTCGACGCGAAACTCGTCTAATCATTGGATAAAATAACTGGCTGGAAGTTACGCAACCGGGAGCTGAACTGTGACCAAAATCAGAAGAGTTAGCTTCATATATTATATAGTCATCGTAGAGGACAGGAAGAGGGACTATTGACGTCTCTCTGAACAAGCAGCGCAGCTTATCCTACAAAATAAAAGCGATAACATTATCACAGACACAACAATGCACTTGTCCCTTGTTTTCCTCGCCAAGGTAACTTACTGTAATAATAACATTGTTAGCTGTGTGTGTGTGTGTGTGTGTGTGTGTGTGTGTGTGTGTGTGTGTGTGTGTGCGCGCGCGCGCGCGCGCGCGCTAATGTGAACCATATGAAGCTCAGATGTTGCCATGTCATGGACCAAAGAGTAGGTAGGAGGGATTTTAGGGGCACATCCTATTGGCTGGTGGAGGAGGATGAGCCTGTTTAACTGTAACGTTAGAAAAACTGCTTGCAATAGTTGATTCAGTCTAGTTGAGGGGGGAGAAAGTAGAGCCAAAAAACTATGGCAACCCAAACCAAGGTGAACCAGTAGACCTAAGTTAAATGTGTCAAAAGGGGGAATGTGATGTGTTTTCAAATGGATCAATTTGTTTTTTGGTTTCCTTTGTAGCCTGTTCTTCACGGATACTACAGAAGTTCCTGCTCCTGGAGGGTTCGCATTGGTAAGTCTTGACACAGGCACTTAAGCTGTTATTCAAAGCATGATGTCAACAAGATTATCATTAACTTTTTGTGCACCAGCTTTTGCTCTTAAAGGTATTGAATATGACCAGGTTCCAGTCAGTCTAATCAAAGATGGAGGTCAGCAGGTACGGTATAAATTCACAGGATCCATATCAATGCAGAAATTACATATTTGATAATAAACACAGATAATTAGAATGACACAGTCGATGTAACAGTTATTGACTACTGCTGTTTTAAATGAACAATGGATGCATAAACATGTTTTTGAAAAATCCTATTAAAGTTATCTGTGTGCTCAAGTATACACAACAGTTCAAGACATTAAACCCCATGCAACAAGTGCCTGCAGTTGAAATAGATGGCATCACCCTCTCTCAGTCAGTAAGTCCCCAAACTATTCACCCAGGTAATCATACAAAACCCTTATTTTAGTTAACCACCTAGAAAACTACTTAAGTTTTTCTGAAAACTTTTCTTGCTCACACAGCTGGCAGTGATCCAGTACATTGATGAAACCAGGCCAGGGCCTCGGCTTCTCCCAGCAGACCCAAAGAAACGTGCCCAGGTTCGGATGATAAGTGACCTCATCGCCTCTGGGATACAGCCTCTGCAGGTGAGAACAGCACAGTGCAAATGATTACAAAGTCAAACTGGAGCTATTGTGGATTATAAAATTCTGCGGTTGCAAAGTCAACAGTCACCTTGTCACAACACATCTTCACACACAACTTCAACAATATTAATTATTTCCTGGATGTTTCAGAATTTGTACGTGATTCAGAAAATAGGAGCAGAAAAGGTGCAGTGGGCTCAGCACTTCATTGATCGCGGCTTTCAAGGTTGGTGGAGAGCAGTCTCCTCAACTAAACATCCAGTTATTCACAGACTGCATCACTCGACTTCCTTTACAATATTATTTGTTTCTCTCTTCCAGCTCTTGAGCCCATTCTGAAGCAAACAGCGGGGAAATATTGTGTGGATGATGAGGTAAGAGCATGATATATAAAGCATTACAACAGTGTGACATCCAGCAGAAACCTTTCATCTGACCCATTGCTTACCTTTTAGATATCCATGGCAGACATCTGTCTGGTCCCACAAGTCTACAATGCAGACAGGTATGTAATCAGACATTTCAGACACTAAAAGACATTTCGGATACTGACAAGAGTTAATGCACGTCTTGCTTTTGTTTACATGAAATCCACCTGCTACACCCAAGACCCTGGTAAACGTTTAACACTCTAGCATGACCTCTCTGTCTTGAATCTCAACAGGTTCAAAGTGGACATCGGGCAGTTTCCAACTATTAAAAGGTTAAATGAAACCTTAGTTGAGATTGAAGCTTTCAAAGTGAGCCACCCGTCTAACCAACCAGACACACCTGCTGATCTGCGTGCATAGAACACTTCCGTACCTTTGTACAGTTAAATAAAATGCTTTGAAAAACAAAATCCTATTTCAGTGATGTTACTTTAAATAACAAGGACACTAGTTAGTTAAAAATATTAGCATTTTGACTTTATTCACTCACTCACACACACACACAGCAATGTGTAAAACATGCAGATCAGAGATTTGTTATGCAAAGTGCAAAACCTCTCAGCTCACTGTTTCCAGCATATTGCCTGTGTGGAGGAAATATTGATAGTTATTAAGAGACTCAAAAAGGAATAACTAAGGAAGCTACACTAGCTGCAGAATACATCATACAAAAAGTATATTAACATATCAAGACAAACAACCAAGTAGAAAAATAACGGTACAGATACACATGCATATTATCATGACAGTTCACACCATCAACACCAATTAGGAAAAAAAAAAAAAAAAAATAGTGTCCTGTTTGGATTCCTTCTCTTTTGAATCCATCACTTGTCACCAGGAACATCCACTGTGCACTTCACTGTGTCATTGTAGAAGGCACCAGAGCAGTCGGACCCACCAAACACCAGCAATGTGCAGTGGGCACCGACATTTTCGCCCTGTTCACACTTCCCAGCGTCTGTTAGGGTGGAGCAGCCCAATTGGACCATGCTGTGTCCCGCACGAGGTTTGGTGCAAAGCAGTGGAGACACCACTGAGCTCCACATGGTGGTGTCTGAGGAGAAGTCAAAGCAGGGGGATTCATTGTACACAATCGTTGATGTGTGGCAAATTGAAACAGGTTGACTTAAAGGAAATTCCCATGTCTATTTTATGGACTTAACTAGATCACACTGACAAATGACATACTCACCAGTGTTGAAAATATGTAAATCCTGCAGGGCTCCAATTGCACTGCAACCTCCACTGACTAAAATCCTGTTGTCTGAAACCGGTAGAGCTGCATGAAACCTGTCCAAGGATGTTTTTCATATGTACCATTATTTTTCTAAAGCCTTTATAATATTTAATCAAATCAACTTTCATTATTTTATGTTGAGCTAAAAATGTACAATACAGAAAGATGGTGCAATTGTGTCACTAGAGATGATTTTTGCTTTAAAACACATTAAATTCAAATGTAGTTCTGTCTGTCCAAGGCACCAAAGATGCAGAAACCAGATGGCTGCATCGATGACATTACTCAAGGTTGATTAATCCTGTACTCACCCTCGAGGCAGTGGTGGCATGTTCCCACACTTCACAGCTGTGTACTCCATGAATCCTTCCCTCATTAAGAAAAAATAAATAAGTATCAGTTTTAAGCTGGACACAAAGGCCAATGCAGCCACCAAACCTTCATCTTACCCAGATCTAGAACATGGAGATCATTAAGATAGGTAGCAGTCTTACGTCCACCAAATATGAATAACCTCTGGGACATCAGTGTGGCTGAGTGTCTGTTTGATTCAAATGCATTGGATCAGTATTTTAGAAAAATAAAACAGTATTAAAATGACAGTAAATTCACTGTAGTCATATTTAAAAGTAGACTGACCCAAACCGAGGCAGAGGTCTGTCCCCCTCCACAATCGGCTGGTACCAGAGTTCATACTGAGGGCTAAAGATGTACAGAGCGTTACTGCAGGATTTATCCCCAGACGAATGGCTCGGCTGAACTCCACCAAAGACAAAAAGCTCTTTCTTATAAAAGGCTGCAGAGTGATATGCCAAATTTGGAACATTTCCTCTCGCCTGAAGAGGGGTAAATCCACAAAAACAAACCAAAAAGAAAGCATTTCCTATAACTCTGCTCGAGTATTTGGTAAGATATCGAGAACTGCCAACGAGTTAGTGACTTGCAACAAACCCACAGAGACAAGCTTCCACTTCCAGGTCAGAGTATTGAGGATGTACAGCTCGCTGTAGCACTGACCCTCCCTCAGGCCACCGTAAACGTAGACTGACTTAGAGTCTGGGTCATAGGTCGCAGAGTGTCCTCGGGCACATAGTGGTACGGGTCCAGAAGCAGAGGAGTTCATGGGGAACCAGAAGTCACTGTCTGGGAAGAGGTCAAAAAGGCAACTAAATGTCAGAAAATGCCTCATGTTCAGTGTAAATATGCAAATATTTTAGGGCTTCGTAGTTTCTCAGCTCCTCCTTTGGTATCAAACTATTTTAAGTCATGCTCTGATACGAGCAAGCTTTATGGACATTGATCAATAAGCAATATATAACCAAACAAACTCCACTAACCTAACTCGAGCTTCCACAGGGAGTCTTCGCAGTAGTTTTGATCTGTGGTCTCCCCTCCGATGAGGATGGCCGTGTCAGGGTCGCTCAGACACATCGTGTGGCTCCAGCGCTTTGATGGACACACTGAAACTAATCATGAGCGCTGTTAAAACACATTTTGTGCGTTCATACCAATACCAACGGCTGTAAAGTTTGTGTCGCTGACCTTCTCTGTTCACATTCTTTATCTGCACAGCCATTTCTTCTTGGCTGTTCATTCTGGACAGCCTCCTTTTCTTGGGGGTTGAAGCCTGGTCTATGTCCTCAGCGGGACTGTCCATGTCCTCGGAGCTCCATGTCAGGTGGCCCCTCTTACTGATAACCGTCCGTCTGGGTGTCTTTTCCTGTCAGTTGCAGAGTGCATCACAGAATAAGTTGCTTACTTTACATGCAGACATTAATTCATTCTAAAGCATGTCTCCTACCGTAGGCCAAACTGGGGCTTTATTTCCCATAGTTAAATCACCGGCGTCACATTTATTTACTTGGATCTCAGCATAGAAAACACTATCACCCAAGTGTGAGGAGTTGGTAGTTATCTGCAAGGCAGGACAATAATGAAATGTTGCAACAAATGTGTAGACAGCGGCAAAACTATTTTTAATTTTAATTAAATTAATTAATTTTGATCTCACAGTTTCATTTCCAGCGCTTTGGTGTAATGTGCAAGAGAGATCATTGGCATTGTGCTCGTCTGGGAACAGAAATTTCCTTTGAAGCATAGGAGTACTGGCTTCATCCTGTGGCTGGTCACAAGTCATTGCATGCAACAAAAAAGTGACAATGTACAATATGATCCAAGGCTCCCAAGAAACAGGCATTTTAAATCAGGAAAATGTAACTATTACAAACATTAAGAAATATCATTGGCAGGGTATAAGATACAGTATACTTTTTTATAATCCTGTTTGTTTTCCTTTATGCTGACAACAGTTGAGCCATCTCTTTACTAGCAGCTGAAACCCTCTTACCTCTCCACACACTGTCAGCACAATCTTGCCATAAACTCCCCTCCTGCCTCTCTCTGCTGCCACTGTGACAATGTCAGCGCTCCAGTCACCCTCCCAGGTCAGGCACCTGAGTTCAAAGTCAATTTTGACGCATTCTGCCTCACGTTTTGTTTTGTTATGAAACGCACACGCCTGTCCCTCTACATACCTTGCTTGCGCCGACAGGGTCCCAATTTTTTGGGCCGGTACTTCCGCACTGACCAGAACCTCTACTGCGATAGTTGTCTCAGTGCATTCCCATTCTCCAAGACCAAAGATAACCAGCTGCCTGGGAAGAGGCAGCGGCATGTGGACTTGAAAGCACCTTCGGTTGGATTTGCTGCGGAGAACCGGGACAAAATGTTTGAATAGTTGTCGCGGTGTGAAAACGTCGGTGTGCTGTTTGTTTTTTTTTGGGTGCGTGTGTTTTTGATTTTTACAAGCAGGCCTACCTAATGAACTGGCGGGGGGCGTCACGCAGCGACCACAGGACATAAAAATTCAGCTTCCCCATGTCGGTTCAGGGTCAGGGTTGCCTCGATAGGTTCGGAGAACAAGCCACCAGCAAAGCTTCTGTGCAAACCTGGAGCCCCTCTGATTGGCTGACTCTAGCGCGAGGCCGGCGTGGAAACGCACACGTGAGACCGCTGGGCCTACAATTAATTTATAATTAGCTGTAAACACTGGCGCTCTGGAGCACCTGCATTGTTTGGCTAGGTCTTACTGAACAGCTCGTTGGTAACAAAGCATTATATTTACTTTCTTAAAAAGCAAAAGTGTTGATGACGTGACTAGTAATAAAGGTGGGGTGGAGGAGGAGATTTTTACCACATGGAATTACCAGTGGGGTTTTTAAACCAGTAGATCCCTGTGAGCCTTTCATTTCTCTGAGGGGAAAAAAAACACAAAGCACAGCTAATTTGGAACAAAATCTTTGTAATATTTTATTGGCAATACCAAGAGAGATATTTTTTGAGGCTGTTTTATGGAGCCAAAGGTTATCAAAAAGTAAAGCAAAATAAATTAGATTTGAATTTATTTTATCAACTGATTGTTGGTGAAGGAGAAATATAGGCTACAGTGTTGCTGTTTTTAACCAGATGACTGGAGGTTAAAGAAATTTATAATATAAAGCTATTTTACGCATAACTTGAATTATTTTATATTAATTATTGATGCATTTATAAATGTTTTGACTTTGAGACCTTCTACACTCAGGGCTCCATAGCGTGGTGTTGTACATTGTAGGCGTGGTTTCCCACAATACACTATACATGAGGGAGGCAGTAAATACATGCAGTAAACGTGTTATACTGCCTCCCTCATGTAGTGTGTGTAGTGGGATTGGACAGGGTACTGAAAACACATTCATTATAAAAAGCACTTCAATAGGACACCCCAAACTACAGTCTCAAATATGCCTTCTGAGTTAAATTTACAAAAGTGATGAGGCATCTACTAGACTGGCTGCACATGTGTAGATTCATCAACTGACTATATATGGAACATCTTTCAAATCCACAATAATCATCAAAGTCTAGCTGGACTAAAACATATTTGGCGTAGCAGCATATAAGAATTATTTAAGAATATGTTTATCCAACTGCTTTTTTAGAAATCCAGGAAAATGTGAGTGACACTAGATTCTCTGGATTCTAAGTGGCCTTTGGGGGGGGGGGGGGGGGGGGGCTGAAAATTAAACCTGGTTTCATCAGCACCTCTGTAACAATTACATCAATCCTCTAATGCCGCAATTTAATGAAATCACATGGGACCATCCTGAAGCGCTTTCTAATCCTGGATCACCAGCAAGACTGTTATGAAATGATGGAGTCTCGGGTGGCATGGACAGATTTGGTTGGCTGGAGACTACACTCGCCAGCAGTCTTAATGACATCTCCCAAGTGTCATGTTGCAACGTTTACTATCCTCAAAATTAACCACAAAGAAATCTAGACAATCTTCTCTTTATTGTGGAATATAAATTTTAGGAACAGAGGTCATCATAACTTACAGTAAAAGGTACAGTACAGCTAACATGGGAAGCTTTACATTGTACACGGCATTAGCAGCCAAATGTGTGGCATCTTTGGGAACATGCGCACAAGTAAATGCGGTAGAAGCACTGATTTTAGAAACAGGATAGACAAGGGTATACAACATTAGTGTGACCAACGCACAGAGGATATTCAAAAACAAACACACTGACCAAATTAAATGGGGGGTTGAGGCAAATGTAAATATTGAATCTATATTACATAATAAGAGCTTTATGTGATAAGGGATGACTTATTTGCATCCTAAAAAGCAAACTTTGGAAAACTGTTACCACTTGCTTCAGTACATTCAATTTATATCAACAAACCACTATGACAGTAGACCGCTCTGTGCACAGAACTTGTATTACATAATTATATTCTCCATTATCACATGATTAGATAAACGCAAATAAAAAATAAGTTACAGTGCAAAGCGGAAGGATAAATACAAGTAACAACGACAAAGCAACATAGAGGGTGCGCACACACGCGCACAAACACACAACACTCTATTTATAGTACTGCTTATTAAGCACCTGACGTGGAGAAATAAATGCTTTGCAGGTGTTCCCTGATGCCTGCTACCATCGAAATGTTACAGCTGAAGACAATATATGTTTTATGACGGGCACAGAGCACACATGGGAACATGGCACATATGCAAGGCTTCTTCAAATATCTATCAGCAAGACATTGGAGCAAATGTTGAGTACAAGATTATCTGACCATATGCTTAAATTGTGGCAACACAAGCTGATAGGGATAAAAAATAGATATGCCTATAATCAACCTTTTATATGATTTGACTTTTTTATGGAATCAAAAATAGTTCTTCAGTTTTAAGAGTAGGATTCTTCTGTAAAGTATACATTCACAAACAATAAATTGGCATCTTAGGCACTGTAATAAACTCTGTAGTAGAGGGTTTTATTTCGCCATAGTGAGTAGGAGTTATCAAACTTCAGGAGGTAAGTGCCTTCACCTGGAAAATCATGGCTCCCCCCATTGACGGACAAGTGACTGTCCTGGCGATATACGGGTAGAATTTCAGCCAAGTTTGAGTTGGTTTGAGTTTTGGAGCCCTTCTCAACATCTCCGTTACTGACAGGCCCTGCAACAGAAATCACATAAACCACAAAGTCAATACACTGCCGCTGGATCCCAGCTGGAGGGAAAAACACAGAAAAACACTATTACGGTGTGTTTTGTAGATACAGAATGAAAGGGGTTAAACAAAGCCCAAGTGTGTGCTAAATATAGACCGTTTTAAATTCTGAATTTGCAAACACTAACTGACCTTCCAGCTCCTCCTCTTCATCTTCGTCATCACTTGACTCGCTGATGTGCACAGTGATAGCCCGGCTCGTGACAGGAGTCCAGTCAAAATATATGCCGAAGCCAATGTCGTAGCTGTCTGTAGCAAACTCCCAGCACAATTTTTTGGCCTCGGGGACAGTGGGCACGTGAACTGTCATGATGTCGCCACGGTACACCGTCACCACGCTGTCCTCCTCCGTTCGAAGCTTTGCCTTCAGCTCCTTCAGCGCCGCAGATGTCCATGTTGTTGGGGGTTTGAGGGGTGGCATCTGGGCTGCCATCAGGAGGAACAAATGGCAACATTTTCACAAAAAGCATAACAGCAAGTCTGAAAATTATTTATCCAGCTTAGACACGCCTTAGAAAATTGTAGATCCATGTTTTTAAAGCTTCACAGGCACATTTTTAAAACAGATTTATGAGAGCTCTGTATCCAAATCATAGATAAACAAAGCAGGAGTCATGATGGCATACTCAGCAGGTCTCTCACCTTTCATCTCAGCAGAGAGCTGACAGCTCCCAGCACTGTTGTTCTCTTCTCCTCCTTCCCCCAGGGCCAGCTCTGCAGGGCCCTCTTCATTACCCTCCAAATGCATACACACAAAACTGATATAATTGCTGAGAAATCATATTATATTGCCCTGTTTATTGCCACTCATTGGCAGCTCATCTGACATGCTTAAATATTAACTACCTCTGCATGTCGTCCTGAATCTTCCTTGGTTTCATCCATATCAGCTTGGTTTTTGGATTGGGTGCAGCTCTTTGAAAGGTCTGTGTTCTGGAGGCTGAAGAGCAGATAGTATAACAGATACCACAATATTTTAACAGGGAAGACATTAGGATGCAAGTAGTACAACCAGCGATACGTGTTATTACAGAAGCTTTAAACAGCAGCAACAGGCTACCTGTCCAGCGGTCTGGTGTCGCACTGTTTGGATGTTATCCCGGGAAACGACGAGAAGGACAGGGATGACAGCCGTGACTGGAGCTCTGATGTAGCCTCTAACCTCTCCATGGATATAAAGACAAGACACCTCAGTCTGCGTGGCTGAAAAAAGATGAAACCCCTCCCCTTTCCAGTCACGGGGAGGGAGGGAAAAGATGAAAACAGTGAAACTAGCCTTCTAACGCAGATAAACTAAACTAAGCAAGCTGCTGTTTGACATTTATGAACCATATTAAACACAACAATAATTGGTGAATTAATAGCCAAAGCCGCGGAAGCGAAATGTATAACGTTATGTATGAGTGATGGGCTTTATTACCCAGCTTCATCTTCATGAAACGCATTAGCTTTGGAGGCTAGCTGGTTAGCTCACATTAGCTAACGCTACCTAACAAGCAGCTGCGGGCGCACTGGGCACAAACTTCACTCACCACGATGTAACGCTGATAATCCGATAACTCAATACGACTTTCCTTTAGTCCAACTCAGACCATCGGGAAATACACCTCCATGATCACTGCAATCACGTGAGGGACTGTCCACGGTTTCTGCTGCTTGACAGGAAAAAACAGACCCGATTTTTTTGACACTTCCGTGTTTCCTCGAGTGTTGCCGAAAATCTGCGAATCTGAAGTATCGACATCCTGTTCAAGAAATGATACCTTCGGGTAAACCCACACTTTATACCCGCCGGTACAACAAGGCAATGTCCAAACGCCAGTCCAAAGTCAGAAAAGAGCCACAGTAGAGGCTGTTTATACTTGTTTTGTGAAGTGTATTTGGTTGCGGTGGTAACTTTCCTGCAATAGAAATATTGTACAGACGTCTGGTATGACATAAAGACATGGTGTGTGGATCAACATGTGCTTATTTTTTGTTGTGTCTTTATGAAAGTTTTAATTAAGGTAGAAGATATTTGTAACATTTTGTAAATGTGGCTGGGGGGTGTACTGTCCTTAAATCCTTTAATTAACAATGTATTCGAAATATACTGCAGCAGATACCCACATTTGCTGCTTTTTCTACATTAGGAAATGTCATCCCCCCCCCCCACATAGGCTACTTAACAGTATGTATAAAAAAAACAAACAATTGAAATCATAATATCTTCAGGTATCAGAAAATACACAGTTGAATACTATTTATTGAAATGTAACCTTGCCACATTATAATTTTCAACAAAAGGAACACACCCTTTACATTAACATCTGTAGAGGATATACAGTTAGGTTTTACATTAGAGTGGAACTGTCTAATTTTGCTTGTGTCTCTACTAGTAATTTGTATGCTGCCGAGATGCACTGTTGCATAGATTTACTGCGTGATAGAAAGCACAGCAGTGGTGTCTCCTTGGTCTGGGCATCAGCGAGAGAAATCCAAGGAAAAGGCCTTTGTGAGGGAAAAAATGTTGAAACATAACATTAAAAAGTGCTTTGGTACTTTTCCTGACAATTTTCAAAACTTGATTCACAAGTGGAATTTACATTTCAAGTAAAATATGACATATATTTTCTTGAGCTATACAGTGCACTCACTCCTTTGTCAGAAGGGAAGACGCATAAGATGCACTGATGAAACTCTGTGCGTTCAATTCCACAGTGTGTGGCTGTTTCTCTTTAAGGATGCTGTTGATCAGAGAGAGAGCATCACTGGATCCCAGACCAGAAGATGTGCAGATATTTAGCAGGCAGTACAACACTGCACACACCCAGTTCAGACCCAGAGAAATGCCACCTAAATATAAAGGAATACAACTGCATTAATATACATAATGTCAAGTTAAAGGTGAAGCCTCACTGCACCAATTTTCAAATGCTTTCCCTTGCATCTTATATAACATGACTTCAAATGCAAGGTCTAAGAAAGAGGCTGACATTATGCAATAATGAAACATGACGCACCGCTCGTTGAGAAAGGACATGATGCCTCTATCTGTAAAGGATCCATCAAAGCCGTGGCCAGATGAGTGCAGGAGAGCCACACATCTGCAGCATCACAAGCGACAAAGTCATACTGTGGTTTGAGAATGAAGTCGTGTCCAAGAAGCTGTGCCAATCTGAAATACAAGTTAAAACGATACGGTGACTGAAAATCAACAAACAACAATGCTGTGTGTGTGTGTGTGTGTGAATGTGGTGGTACCTGGTGATGGGCACAGCGGAGGTGAAGCTGTACACAAGGCATCGCTTTGACAGGTTGGAGTGGAGATCAGCACAAACTTTAGGGAGGTGAGAGGGCAGACAGCAGAGGAACAGGATGTCTGCCCACGCTGCCAGTCTGCGATTGTCAGAGAAACATTCAACTCCTGTCGGGATAAATCCCACTGAAATAAGGAAGCAATGAGACAAACACAATAAGCACTGGCTCTTGAGTAGCCTACATAGGTATGACTTTTGTCAGAAGGCTATAGGATATAGGAATAAGCTCAATGTGCAATTTGGTTTAATCAACTCATGTTTAATCTCTAATTTATCAATATCAAAACTCATTACTCTGACAACAAATGTCTTATCACTTGCAGAAGAGAAAGTTAGCTAGTACAAGCCAATAATACTACACACCATCTGCTTTAGTGAGTTGTACTGCATCACAACAACTATTTTACTTTGATTTGTACCTCTGAGTGCATTGCGTTGTATTATTTTATCAGTGTATGCCTACCTACAGATTCTGGTCTTCTACTGGATATCTTAATGTGTGATGGTTTGATGCCAGACTTTTCAAGGAGGGAGAGGAGTAACTGTTTCCCCATTTGACCCATCCCAAGTACCCCAACACGGAGGTCGCTGTCTTCTCCTGGAGAGTCTCTGTTTGCAGTGTGACTTTTCATGACACATCTAAATTTAAACGTGCAACAATTAGAATGAATGTGTCACACACACTTTAAATAGAGCTGCAGATAAATTAGCCTACCTCAGCGAGTGGACGAGTTTACACAGGAAAACTGCGTGCGCGCACCCGCAAAATATCAGTCCCGCCGAGCGTACACGAAGGTGAAGTAATTTTTTTTCATCCTCAGTCAGTCCAGCCTCAAAAGAAAAACTGCTCAAATCAGCAACCACGTCCAACATCGCCTAAAAGATCCGATAAAGGTAAGCTAAGCAGAAAGTGGATGCTATCAAGTTTTACAACATAGTAAAAATTGGCCTCCTCCTCCTGTTTCCATGGCAAAAGGAAAACTTCCGATATAACATGGCTTACATACTTCAAAATAAAACTGCATGTCAAACGCTGCGCTGATCAGAATAAAAGAACGACTTAAACTTATGGTTAAACTGCCGTCAATCAAAATAAAACATTTATTATTATTTATTTTTACATTCTATTATCCATCCATGACAACTTAAATAAAAAGTCCTAAATCTCTCCTTTCAGACTCAAGGCTGTGAATGTGACCATATAGACACAGGAATGCCTACTTACATTATATTCACTTCTAAAAAGTAAAGACCACACACAATGACGTTCTGCTCTGGTGGATTTAACCATTTTTATTTCGCTTTCATGCATTTAATACAAATTCTTCCATCACCTGTACACTTATGTACAAGAAATATTAGTCTGTCCACATAAACAAGAAAATGGGCAAATCAAATGTCTGCAACACAACATATCACACCAAATATCAATATTCAAACATACACTTAAAAAATTCAATTGTGCAGGATATTAAGACTTTGCTTCAAGATTCTGAGTGGATACAGTTTCTCTTACAAGTTTGAGTGAACAATTTGAAAAATTTGAGCAGCATACTGACAGAATAAAACATTTGAAACTGTTTTTAAAATATCAAGATCAGCTTTTGAGAACAGCAGCTTTTGCAAAAATGACAAAACGACCACAGCTCCAAACAAAATTGTAAAACTTTATAACAACTTCCCATCTGTCATTCATTTGAGCTGATTACACAACTTTACATAGCTGTGACACATTCAGGTCCTACACTTGTTCTTTTTCATATTTGCATGAAATGTTACACATTAGGAATATTTACAGAAAATAACAGTATATAACATACAGCACATTATATAAATTAAGGGTCATTACACCTATATTATTAGCGTTTGTTGACACCAAGTAGGGTAAAAGAACCAACAACTTGTAAACAGAGCTGTTTTGAGAATGAAGCAAATGTTTGCACCTCATGAGACAACAGCCTATTCATTATGATTTTATATCTATAATGCCACTGTCTATCCCACAACAGAACAAAATCCACATAAAGACAAAATGTGGCTCATAAATTCCTCACTCTTCATACATCCCTTTGATTAACCGTACAGTTGGACAATGCTGATAACCATGAAGGCACTGTGAGGCACCCGGTAAGCTGACACAAGCAGTAGCTCAAAGTGCCACGAGATGATCAGGATCTTATTTACACCAGGGCTGTATATTATGCACCTCTGAGATGTTCCTCTTCAAAAATCCTCTTAAGAAAGTTTCCAACACATTTACTAGCTGTTTCTTCTGCACAGTCATGCTTTCAGGTACCATATGGCAATAAGAATTACTCCTCGCCCTGCCTCCATTTCTGAGACTCCTCCTGGCGCGCATCAGGGTGAATCTGGTTCCTCATCCCACCCAAGACATTGGAGGTGGCTTCAGTGGCCATAATGAGCGGCTTGACTACTGCTGGCGGCAGCTGGCGGAGAACTCCACCCACTGCCCCGGTCATCCCACGCTGCTCGTGCTCCCGGGTGGCGGTGTCATAGATGGTCAGTGCCGTGTCTGTGATCCCCTGTAGATGTAAACACCAAAAAAATCTGCATTAAAATCGGATTTTACTTTTCCAATAATGTCAATGAACTGACCCCACATAGTCGAAGGTTCAACGCTTCGATGGCCGGAGCCTGATTTGACTGTCAATCTCACAGTCAAAGCTTCCCAGCAAAACAAGGATCATGCCATTTTGACGATATGGGTGTGCTCAACATCTGATTTTACATAGAACTACTAGTTTTCTCCCCATAAGTTAATATACAGCCTATTACAATATACATTTCAATGTTTAATGCTGCAAATAAATATGTAAAAAGAAAAAAACTTTTAATAAATGTTTTAAAAAGGTGCGTGAATAAATCCAAAATTACCCTTTAAGAAGGGGGGTCAGTGCGTATGTGTAGGCGTAGCGTGTACGTGTGTGTAGCCATGCAGTCTATGATGTAGCCTAATGGCAGGGAGACGGAGCCCCAGCCTCACCGCTGAGTTATCCGCACCTCGCGGGACATTTGAATCATTTATCACCACTGATGAACCATACAAAGTGTATTATATTGTTTTTAAATAGTACTTGAAATAGACCTGCGAGGAACTGCGACGTGCATGCATTTGTCAGCCACACGACACGCATGCAAAACTCTGCACAAGACCTGTGAATGGCAGGCGAGCAGAGAGGAAATGATCAACAATAAGTCTCAGTTTATCTTTAACGTTAAATGTAAGTTACAGTGACTAATGAACAGAGGCTGCAGTTCTGCAGCTTCTACCGTGCACCCCCTCCCCCATCGTCGTGCACAAACACACATTGATTTGACTATCAGTCGACTATGGGCAAGACTTGATTAAATTCTGATTCGACTATGTAAATCGTTAGTCGGGGACAGCCCAAAAAAAAAATAATATTTTACCTCTTTCACCACAGTATAGGCTTTGGCTACACCTTCTCTCAGGTCAACAGGCTGATGAGCCAATCCATAATGGGAGAACCGTTTTATCCTCTTTGTGTCTCTCTCATCAGGCACTGGAGACACCATGTCATAGGCAGTCTCAGCTGCAGCCTGAAAATGACACACAGAACAGCAGATTTGTTTGACGCCTCATGAAGGCACTGGTAGTGGATACAGACTTGTTTTTAGCAACAGTGAAACGAAGAGTTTACCTGGATGGTCCGCACCATCCTGTTGGTGAGCTCCAGAGCAGCCATGGCGGTAGAAGTTCCAAAGGAGGCAGTGCCGCGCTGAAACCCTCGAACTATCCGACCATCTTTCCTGTACTGCTCGATCGGGAGCCAGACCAAGTCCCTGAATCCCTGAACTGAACAGAAAATTCATCTTAAGAACATGGAAATACATGAGATCTACCTGAAGCTCACACACTGTAAATTACTTTTATAGCAGTTTTTTAAGGAAATCACAAATAAAGTTCGTCTGATACACCAAAAAGCCAGTGACTGGGTTCAGAGCATGTGTTGTAACTCACCTAGTTGTACCAGAGAGTGAATAGGTCCCACACCACCCAGGAGTCCTGGAAGCTGGTTCTTCTTGATGTCATTTAGCCACTCATTTATTGCATAGGAAAACAGTTTATCCACACCTAATAATCTGGAATACAGACAAGTATTAGTGCCCAGGGAAACATTATTGTCTGTCTGTGAATAGTGAATTACACACTTGATATAAATACATCATGTACTGGGATGTGTAAAAGAAATGTGCTCTTTTACTGTCTGAATCCAAGGTATCAAATAACCAACACAGTCTCGTATGATGTATTACTCAGATAATCATACCCTTGTCTGTAGCACAAGCGCCTCAGCTTCAGCTCTGAACAATTAAGCTGTGTCAATCCGATAATGATCCCTGCAAATGTTCCCTGGAAGAGAGCAGTCATAAAGATCATTCATACAGCACAAATACAATAATGTGGGATTCATACATAGCCATCTTAGATCATGTACCTGCTCCATTAACACGTGTTTCCCATGGTAATCCAAGCGAATGGGAACCTCAGAGGTAAATCGAAACTCCCTGTTAGGAAACGAAAGTGTTAACCAACACAGACAAGCAATTTAATTGTTTCTTTCAAGGAGTTTTATTATTTAATTAGTTATTTAACACTAACCTAAAGAAGATGGGTTGGTCTGTGAAGGAAGGAGCAGACGCTTCATTGTCAGTCACTTCCTCCTTGCCAGATGTGGAGAAACCATTGTGACTCAAGCGTCTCTGAGCAGGCAACGAGATGATTGGGGCCGGGTCCTGGCTACTGGCAGCGTGCTTGGAGAAGCTGCAGGAGATCTCAGGTGCAGCCACTTTTTTTGTGGAAACACAGACAGCTGCAGAACAAAATATTAAAATAATATCAGGAGCCAGCATTTGAATGTTAAATTATGTTTGAGTTTGAGGCACTTGAATGAATTTTACCTTCTTGAGCAGGCGGTGAGAAAAACTCAACTTCAGTAGCAAGACTAGTAAAGAAGTCCTTCAAGAAGAACAGAGCATCCTTCGAGCAAACAAAAAACAAGGCTGTGACTCAAAAAAAAAAAACTTACTGAGGATGTGTGCCACACGTGTAACAATCATTTGCGGATATTTTACCTGATCAATATTGAGGCGAAGAGGCATCAGGGAAACTCGCAAACAGCACTCCTGGGGAGCCTGGCCTGACTCAGGACACATGTGCAGTGCCTTCACCGTCAACTAAGACGAAACGCATACAAGAAGTTACACAAGGCCAAGACTTTACTGGGTTAATGTGAGCGTGCTGCCTTCCTCACCATGTTCGAATGGGCTTTTCTGGGCATTTCCTTGCTAGAATACAAGTAGAGGAACTTGTTCATCTGTGAGGTAGCCAGTCTGTCTCGAATCTCCAAGTCCTGCACAATAAACACCTGCCGGGAGACTGGCTGATCCATTGCTGGCCCAGAAGACACCTGGGCCTGTGGGTACACCTCATGCTGAAATCTTACCTAGGGCAAAGGTAAAAAAGAAAAGCTGGTAAACGGTGAAGTAATGATGCAAGGTATTCGTGTGATGAGTACCATAATAAACATTCATTCCAGGTGAAGAGGAACTTTACCTTGCTGAGCTGTATCTCCATCAGGACATCAGGGTTCCTTCCTCTTCCACCTCCTGCCCGCCCTGAAGCCTTGGCCTGTCTGACTGGAGTTTGAGAGGGGGAGCTATGGGGTGTAGACCTGCAGGGCGGAGAAAAGGGCAAAAATTAAACAAGTCTGTTTCACTTTCAGCACATTTAAAACAGTGTGTGCAAAGTTATGTGTTAATGACTCACCCTCGGCTTCTAGCAGGAGAGGCTATGAAAGTTGCACTCCCAAAGTCTTTCCCACCATAGAGGTGCCAGATGACGGAGATCTCCTTGATGAGGTAGCGCACCTCTGGGATGGGAAAGTTCATGGCTCCACGGCTGGAATCACTCCCATCTAGAGGCTGACTGAAGTGATCATCTTTGATTTCTACAGGGTCTGAGGTAAGCTGCTTTACCACTGGCTCCTGATCAAGATCCTGAAACACATATTTCTTACAGTGAGCCAACACAGATTGTCACAGTGTCTTTGTTGTGGTGCCATAACTGTGTGAATGAATATATATCCTGACCTCTCCTCTGGAACCTGGTGTCTCCAGGATACAAAAGTCGTCTGTCTCTTGGGTCAGGGTAGGGACAGGAGTGATGAGAGGAGAGTGAAGCACTGGGTAAGTGGGGCTCGCATCTTGGGGAAAATTCCCACTTTCATCCGGGAACAAGAACAGGTCTGAGCGAGGCGGGTCATGGTCCTGATCCCGCTCCTCATGTGCACCTACAGATGTGTGAAAAAGTATCAAATCTAGTTAAGTGACATTATATCATTCATGGAGCTAAGCCCTTCATCTTTCCTGAACTAAATCTTCACCATTCTGCTGCAGCCCTGGAGCATGCTGCCCATCAGTCTCCTCCATAGCTTCACTCATAAGATCCTGCAACATCTGCTGCTCAGTCTCAGCAAGCAATGGTGTCTGAGATGTGGGTCGGCTAGGAAACTCCGCCTGTCCAGAAACACACTTAAAGTAAGCATGTGTGACCAGCAGAGGTTTTACATCCTATTGTAACTACCGAATACTGGCTCAGGTTGGGGTAATTTCTGACCTTGGTTCTTTGTGTAGTGCTGCTGTGCTTGGCCTCTGGCTCTGCAGGGGGCAGTAAGTCTCCATAGCTGGCTACATATTGGATAAGGTTCATGAGGGCCGCACAGGAGTCCGAACACGTTCTGATGTGAATAACATCACTGGAACAGCGCAGCTCAAATCTGGGCTCTGACTATCACCCAAGAGAGAGTGAGAAATGAGACATTTTCAACCAACTTTTGAAGAGGAAAAGTTCAAAACATTAATGTAATGTAGAGGCAGACAATGCTTACCAACTTTCCATCTGCCCCAGGTTTGACAGCTGTAATCCTCAACTCTAATGTTCCCATGTCTACCACTTGAACATAGTCTATGACAAAAATCCAAAAGCAAACACAGGTCAAAGCTACATTGAAACATTTCAAGCAGTTTCTTCAAAATCATCACTGAAGTGAACTTACCACGCGCTAGATTGACAGAGACGGCATTACTCTTGTCTGAGAGGAACAGAGCCGCTTCGTCCAAAATTATCCTGTGTACAACATGTTGTATAAAGCAAGTCAGATGCAATTACATCTCTCAGTTTTTCTATCAGCGACAAAACCTACCTGAGTGTGGAGGAAGAAAGGTCCAAAGAGACACTGCTGGAGATGCTGAAAGTCTCTACAACCAACAGTGATCTGAGTGGCAGGTAAAGGGGTCTGTCAAGAGAAGAACAAATGCCACATTTGAACACACACAGATAACAAATAACTCAATAATCAGTGGAAGGTCTGAAGCCTACCTGTAGTCTAGAGAGCAGCTCCATAGGTGTAGATGTAGGGTGGTGACAGACGTAGGAGGGGCGTACCCCAACACAGGCTCATCGGAAACATTCAGAAAGTCGACAATCTGTTGCACATAAATTGGCAATACGATTACAAATGTGTGGTTTCTTTTGCATTATATTTAAGGGAACATTTAAGGTAAAAGAATAAAAAGAGGTTTTGTGATGTGGTAGCTTCATCTAGGCCTACCTGGTCATACCAACCCAGGCTGGGAGGGACCACTCTGTGCTGGAGTGTGGCTCCTCTAACTCCAATAGCGACCAGAAATTCCTGCAACAAAAAAAAAAAAAAAATACACTGCAGTGAGCAGAAAACACAACGCAAGCTGACTGATGAAACACCAGTTCTGCCAAATAAAGGGAAACATTTGGCTGAATGGAGGTATTACCTGAAATCTGTGTTGAAACAGATGCTACTGCACAGGTGTGGTTTCAGGATTAATTCAGAAATCAACATGTAATCATGCCTGGTGTTTTCCAGCGTAATGATGTTGAGTAAGCTGCCCATTATTTGACTAGTATGGCACAGGAGTGAGAACCCAATGGACCTCACTTATAAAACATTATTTACAATTGCCCTTACATGGCAAGGTCAGGATTTGGGTTCAACAGTAGATCAAGAAAAATCTTTCAGTTTGTCAAAAGCCCCATCTACAGGGCAAATGTGGTCATGAAAGGGTCTGTTGAGGTTGCGAGTCCACAACCACAGTGTACTAAGGCTGTCTCAGTCAATAGATCTCAAGCTAATTAATACTTTATAAAGATTTTTTGTTTTTTTTAAGCCTTTATTTAGATAGGACAGTGAAGCAAGGAAGGGAGTGAGAGAGGGGATGACATGCAGCAACATATTTTCTTGTGACATACTCACAAGAAAGACAAATTATTCAAATTTAAAAATCTGAAAATTGCTCTATGGGGAAAACCGCTCACAACGCACTGATCTATTTAACATGTGACGATGGGTTCACAAGTGGATGTTGCTTAATTTAAGGGCTCTCAGAAATCCAACTAAGCTCAACAGACAGAATCTATCCCAAGGTGAACTGAAGCTGTTTTGCCAGCCAGCATGGCCTGTTACCAGTCAGTGATGTGAGAGTACTCTACCTTCACATTGCGTTCTGCATTCTGTGATGAGATTTTGACAGCGACAGACACCATGCTGCGGGCCTCCAGACCAATACTCTCTGAGGGAGTTGAGGATCTCTCAGGAGACGTCTCTGATTGGTAGATGGTTGGCTCCAACCAGTGGGGATGTGTCCTGCATGGCAACTTGATGTCGGAGACAGAGGTGCCTCCCTCCAAAAGTCCTAAGCCGGTTAACAGAGTGAGAGATCATATAATGAGGCTTAACACTAGAACCGACAACGGGTCAAATTTACCCGCGGCTGTTTTTTGATTGTATTTATCTTTGTTTCAATATAATATTCAAGTCCCCCAGTCTCTGACTTAAATATTCTGACTCCTAAAATTGTGTTATGTAGCACCCCCTATTGTTAAAAATGTCAATATAAAGCCAGATTTAAAAAACGGGCATTTATACCTATAAGCACCAGCGGGTAAAATTTACCCCTATAGAGAATGCAGTCCTTTTAGCACTGTTCATTTAGATAAACGTTCTACGTTGCTATTGGCAATGCCTTTCCCACTACAGGCATTACACTTGCTCAGCGCAGTGAGTGAAGGAGAGTCTGACAGTGGGGGCTGAGTTGATTCTGCATCTGACTGGTCATTATCTGACAGCGATCCACTTGAATGAAGTAAATATGCATAAAAGCCGCTGCTCATAGGTTTTGTGTAGGCTACATGATTATCACAGGGAAAAACTAGGCTACCTGCAGAATTAGTTTTGATGGAAAATCAAAACCATCAAAACCCACTTCAAGTGGGGCTCCCTCGTGTGCTTTTTCAATCGGCTATAACTTTTCCAATGCTTTGTATTTTTTAGTAAAAGTGATCATTATACATTTTTCCGTTGGGTAAAAATCTACTATGAATTTTGGAATTGATAATAATCGTTTTTTTCAAATAAATCGCCTACTTTTATTTGGACTTTCAAACTTTTGTAGCTATGTGTTACTCTCTGGATGCCCGATGGAGTCCGAAAAAACAAGCAGAACATTAAGAACTAACTAACATTATGAGGCTATTATTATTACCGCCTATAAAACACTACAACAGTCAGTCTTTTTTGTAAATTGTATGCTGCATTTAAATTCAAGCTGTGTTTAGAATATAACTAGGCTACAACATCTATAACAGCGATGAGTGGATGACATCAAAAGAGCCGCCGCATGTGAACATGCCCTTCACAGATGCGCAGTGTAAGTGAACGACCTGCACAGTGAAGACAATGAATAAAAATAGAATAAACATTCTGTACATGCCTGAAATATGGGGATGGTGTTTATAGGAAATGCAGAGCCAATGTGCAATGTTTCCCAAAGTGTGTTGGAGCAACATGTAGCAGAAATAATCACAAAATCACGGCATTTTTATAGCGGGTAAATGTTACCCGCTATGGCGGTTATAGGTATACAACAAACCCTGGCGGTTCTAGTGTTAAAGGGTAAACCTGGGCCCTATTTTCACATATCTTCTGGTAGGACAACATTGTGGAAAGGGTCACGAGTGAAATCCTGGTGACACCCCTTGTTTTTAACCAAAGTTAAAACTTGCTCATACACAATTCTTGCTCTGATATCTTGCGAGGGACAAGCTGTTGCAGGAAGGCGCCAGTGGAAACGTGAGTCATAGTTGGAGAGAGGGGTTTGTGTACACAGAGGAACTGCAAGACTTTATTTCCCTACACTGCTCCAACAAAACAAACTCCAGCTGAAACCATCTATTGCACAGATTTCAAAACTTTTTGTACGTACTAGTCAATTCAACCCCCGAATATGAGGAAATAGGGCCCAGGTTTAAAAGTATGAAATTATCCTGCAAGTACATGAATCACACAACAGCAGTGATGTAGACACAGTGTAGTTGTATAGTAGTACTCTACTTCACAACATCACGTACACACAGCAGCATGAGAGTATAGTGACTACAGGTGCTGGTCATATAATTAGAATATTATCAAAAAGTTGATTTATTTCAGTAATTCCATTCAAAAAGTGAAACTTGGATATTATATTCATTCATTACACACAGACTGATATACAGTATTTCAAATGTTTGTTTCATTTAATTGTGATGATTAAAACTGACAACTAATGAAAATCCCAAATTCAGTATCTCTGAAAATTTGAATATTACTCAAGACCAATACAAAAAAAGGATTTTTAGAAATGTTGGCCAACTGAAAAGTATGAACATGAAAAGTATGAGTATGTACAGCACTCAATACTTAGTTGGGGCTCCTTTTGCCTGAATTACTGCAGCAATGTGGCGTGGCATGGAGTAGATCAGTCTGTGGCACTGCTCAGGTGTTATGAAAGCCCAGGTTGCTCTGATAGTGGCCTTCAGCTCTTCTGCATTGTTGGGTCTGGCGTATCGCATCTTTCTCTTCACAATACCCCATAGATTTCCTATAGGGTTAAGGTCAGGCGAGTTTGCTTTGTTTCACAATCCTCTCCAGGGTGCGGTTATCCCTATTGCTTGTACACTTTTTTCTACCATATCTTTTCCTTCCCTTCACCTCTCTATTAATGTGCTTGGACACAGTGCTCTGTGAACAGCCAGCCTCTTTAGCAATGACCTTTTGTGTCTTGCCCTCCTTGTGCAAGGTGTCAATGGTCGTCTTTTGGACAGCTGTCAAGTCAGCAGTCTTCCCCATGATTGCGTAGCCTACAGAACTAGACTGAGAGACCATTTAAAGGCCTTTGCAGGTGTTTTGAGTTAATTAGCTGATTAGAGTGTGGCACCAGGTGTCTTCAATATTGAACCTTTTCACAATATTCTAATTTTCTGAGATACTGATTTTGGGGTTTTCATTAGTTGTCAGTTATAATCATCAAAATTAAAAGGAATGAACACTTGAAATATATCAGTCTGTGTGGAATGAATGTATACATTATACAAGTTTCACTTTTTGAATGGAATTACTGAAATAAATAAACTTTTTGATGATATTCTAATTATATGACCAGCACCTGTATGTGCAGCTGGTTTACCTTGGTGATACATGCAGATATTACTGGTGTGGAAGCAGATGTAGTGCTGGTCTTTATAGCCTTCGTACTGCGTCACACTGAATAGCACAGCATTTTTCACCTCGAGCCAGAATTCGCCATGTTTGTTTTTCAGTACAGTTTTATCCTCCTTCTGAAAAAACAAAAGATGGACTCAATCCCACTATCCATATAAAAAGATATTAGGGTTGTCTGAATAAAACTGTGAGGATAGAAAGTGATATCAAAAAGGATGAGAGTTACCTTAGCGTTAGTTTGAAGAGCCACCAGGCCATGATTGACACTGAGGATGACAGAGAACAGGCTCTGGGAGGTCTTGCTATGGGCTTTGGGCTTTTTCTTCTTGCGAGACCTGAGGCCCAGGTCAGATGCAGGAGAGTAATAGTGCATGGTCTCCTCATCTGACCCACTGGTCTCATCTGAAAGCACAACATGAAGCACATTTATGGAGTTTAAACATGACTTTACATTAGATATTTTTACTACCAAATGCAAATTCATGGGAAATGTTATTTTTCCCGTCTCACCCTCAGGACCAGTAGAGCGGAACTGGCTGAAGCTGTCCTTGGAGTAAGTGTTGATCAACTGACTGGCAACAGAGAGTCCAACTCCATATGGCATGCATTCCACCGTCTCCACAGGAGATGGAGCAGTGGGCTCCCACAGCAGCAGGTCATTGTTTATCCTAAAATATTGAGAATATACTTTTTATGTATGGAACAAGGCAGGGGTTAAGTATCTTTTTAACGGGTATGTGCACGGTCCCCTCGTTTTAACATTTTAGCTGGCTGTCAACAAGACCTGTCTCAACAAAAGTAACATGTATTACACCAACAACATAGGGAAACCAAGTGCTACAAAAACACCAGCTGATTATTTGGTGATTTTCAGCTACAACAAAAACACTTTTATACATGGGAAAAGGTTTCATAAGAAACGATATTCATTCGATAACGATATTCATTCGATTTTCATGCTTTTCCTGGCATACTGTATCGCTCATACTTAAAAGAAGTTTTTTTTATGACAAATCTTATCTTAAAAGATAAAGTTATATTAGGAATTCTGTACCTGTTGTGCAGTTTTTCATAAAATGGCTTGCTGGGCAGTACTAATTGCACATTGGGGAAACACAACTCAAGGATGAAGCGAGAGTTGTTCATGGTTTTATCCTGGAATTCTGTCATCTCAGCGACATCTCCGGGAATGACCATCTGGAATAAAATATGCTCTGTCAACAGGATAGGTATGCAAAGCAGTGCTCAAGTTCCCCTTTGCATAATGATGCATCTGTCAACCAGAGGATACCCTCGCCACTGAATGCAAATACATCCACCTGCACAAAGTCCACTTGATTTAAAGCAATGCCATCATCATAACTATAACGACAATAGGTTGTAAATTTTAATGTATAACAAATGCACATTTTCAAATCACCTCAACGTGTTAGTAAACATATATTTTAAATACCATCTGCTCAGTGCCTGGTCCCCTATTCTCCAGCTTCAGATAGCTTATCAGGGTGTCCCATTTCGCATATCTCCATAATGTCTTCTATGATGTCTTGTATTTTAATGATTTTAAGAGTAAACTGAACTTAATAATGTTCCTGGTCCAAATTGGGTAAATTCTGAGATTGATCATTTGTATAAAGGGAGCAGACTTACATAAATCAATGAGGTAATATTTAAACACCTGGATAATTTCTATGCAAATACATTTAGCAGTTGCTTTAAGCTCCAGTGCATTTGTTTTAAACAAAAAATGCTTCACTTTAACACAAAGAAATGTAATAATATATTAGTTGGCTGTATATTAACAGGTGTGATAAATGTGGCTGTTAAACCATGACCTACCTCTTCATTCTCATACATAACCCTTCGAGAAGAAAAGGGTGATGGTTCTGGCTTCCCAAAGTCACACACATCCTTTAGTGAATGGGCAGCCCCTTCCTCCTCTTCCTCTTCAAGGGAATGGTCCTCAGCCCCCTCGTCATCTTCAGCCGTCACCCTTTCAAGGATTGAGTGGACTGCAGTGGGGTTCATCTTTAGCACGACCCTGCTCAGAGAGACTTAGTATCACTGAGGGAAGCACCTGGATGGACAGATCGGTTTGAGGTTGGTTAGACAAACTTACCTTGGCCAATCAAATTTCGCACTTTCAGATGTTGTCATGTCTCCCTCCATGGTGTGGGACACTCTGAGGAACCGGGCCGCTGTTTGATCTGGCTCCTCCTGAAACTTCCCTGTGAAAAGCAAAAGAATACAAAGCAGTAAAAGTGCAATTCCTCGGTTAAAAAACGTCTTCAGAGGGAAGGTTAAATTTTCTTTTAGATAACATACCAACAAGCTCCCTGAAAGTGAGCTCCATTTTGGTTTGGTCAGGAGAGCTGCCGCCCATGAACTCTGTTTTCACTTCCAGGTCTTCCAGCTCCAGGTAGAGCACTTCCTTCTGCAGGGACTTCTTGAACCAAGGGCCCCTCTCCTGATCTGAGCGCAGGTCAGGGATGGGGAAGCGGATTGCAAGGCCCAGCACTGGGGCATTGACAGTCAGCGATACATGACAGGTGGTGGGCGTATGGCTGTCATCAAGGAAAACCTCTGTAAAGGCCTTGTGCTGTGAAATGAGTTTAAAGAGACAACAAATTAGATAATCTATTGGTAAAGGTACTTTACTGTCACATACACATATATGTTGCGAAATTCATTCTCTGCATTTAACCCATCCCTCAAGGGAGCAGGGGGCAGCCGCTGTGCTGCGCTCGGGGACTAACTCCAGATCTAAATCAGTGACTGGTCAATGGCACTAACTGAAGAACCTAACATGTTTTTGATGGTGGGGGAACCGCGGCACCCAGAGGAAACCCACACAGACAGGGGGAGAACATGCAAACTCCACACAAAAAGGCCGGGACAACCGGGGTTTGAACCCCGGACTTTCTTACTGTGAGGCCACAGTGCTATCAACTGTATCACCTTGTCGCTTGTTGTAGAGCCTATAAATATGCATCTGCTTTCCCTCAAAGTTTAAATATTCAATAGTTCTTGGGATGCCCTTACCAAGCTGACATGTTTATTATAGGATGTGTACAAGTGGGATGTCATCAACTCTGTAGTGGCCAGCTTCTGAGGTTGTAGCAAGGAGTTGAGACGGTCCACTATGCTGATGTCCAACTCAGAGCGCACAGGGCCCAGCTCCACCTGGATCTCAGCTTTCCTGGGTATGGTGCTGAGACGAACCTGGCCGCCCTGCACAGAGAACCAAAGAATTGACTTAGTAGTAGCACGAAGAAGCTTTAAGTGATAGTGCTGCGGTTTCATATTGGACTAATAAATGCTGTTACCTGAGGGCCTCTGCGCTCAGCCTGTTTGTAAAGCAGGTGAAGGCAGGTGGTAAGCGGCTGATCAGCACTGGCTGCGGTGTCAAATGTCAGGAGCTGAGGTGTGACAGAGAAACTAGTGAGAAACTCTCTTAATGTCATGCCAGCTGCAACTTTCAGACGTACTGAATGTGTATGAAGTGTTTAACCAACCAAAGTTGAGTGCAGTGCAAAAAGTGCTTAGCTCAGGCTTCAAACTCTAACCTCTGTGTACTGAATGCCTCTTTGGGAGCCGCCACGGACTGCCTCAGAGGGGAACAGACACTCCAGAAACTCCATCTGATGAAGGGAGAAGTCAGTGCTAAAAGTCCGCAGGCTGGATCCCTGACAGTGCTCATAGTTTATCTTCAGGCCCTGGCCCACAAACCTGCAAATAAAAGCCCAGATCAGACATTAAACAGTTAAATGACAAATCTGTCCTACAGTACGTTCAAAAAAGACACAATGCAATACCTTATGCAACAGGAATTAGTAAAAGTGCACCTTAGATGGTCATGGGGGCAAGCCTGGTTAAACACAGTCCGAGACTGGAGGAAAGTAGCTGGGGCGAGGTGGCCTGGGCCCACCATGCTGAAGAAATGTGCAGCCATAGGGCCAAGGGGACTGGGAACAGCATCTGGTGGTGGCAGCGGGTCAATGTGGAGCACCGAGACAGCCAGGCTACTCAGTGTTAACCTTAACACCAGCTCGGGCCTTGACTCATCGCCATGGGTTTTGGATGGATGGGCTGAAATATAAATAATAATAAAAAACAGTGGCAGATATCCATACAGATATTACATTTTCACTGTGTTGAAATGATAACCAAGTACAACAGAGGGCTAAGTGCATGTAGTTTTTCATAGAGCCAAATACTTTAACAGCTAATTTCACTGCTTTTCACAGAGACACTAATATTTAATAGTTTAATGTGTATAAAGTATGTACAAATATATTGATATATTGTAATACTTACAAGTCTGTCTCAGTAATTTTTGAGGGAGTTGTGAATCCCGTGATTGGACGGGAGTTTCATTAGCGTGCTTCTCTCTTTGTCGAGGTACATCCATGTAATCGTCCCACAGAGCCTACAAACACAGATACACAAATATGATGCCAGATTTACTACAGAATTTCAGGATGTAATAGAGTAACCAAACTGCTGAGGACCCCCACTCTCACCTACATTCAATTTCAATGCCTTGATCACTGATCAAAGAGGTGAAGACTTACTGTTGCATTTCCAGAGGGAGATTCTCCTGGGGAGGCAGAGTAGTTGCTATTAAGTGACAAATCCAAGTCAACAGTGGGTGGTTCACCCAGAGGAGGAAGGGATGATAAGCTATGAGACATGTCCATGTCTGCCATGGAGAAGAACACATCATCTACACCAACAACAGATGTGTTGAGAACAAAAAATAAAGGAAAGGAGAAAGAAAGAACAAATTTCATTAAGTAGATGCAACCATGACATACGATTTCTTAGAAAGGTCAGGGATTAGAGGATATTGTTTCAGTCCAACCTCGACTAGACACAGTTCTTGTCGTCTGGCTCTCAAAGAGGTCAGGGTCTGCTCCTGGTACAGCGGTATCCTTCTTCAGACATCGGTTCAGTTCCATATGGAGCCGATACTCATCCTCTTGCTGTATGGGTCGGCTCTTTCTATCCTTAGCCCATTCCTGTGCACCTTCACACAAAGAATAAGAAATACTCTATTCACTCCATTTCTAAATAAACCATTGTTACCCTGTTTGATCCAAATGTTCTCTTGCATCTATCAACAGTGGGGTGCTCACCTCCTCCAGAGAAAGCTCCACACAAGTCTAGAAGAAGATGAACTTGCCGCGGGGAGAGCAGAATAATAAGTGTATCAATGTGTCCAACAACATCCAGCTGCAAAGCAAAGCATGCAAAACACCTTGGTTAATAGCAATCACCCCTAGTTCATACTATTGAGTAAATAATCAGGAATGTTTTTTCTTATAATATTGTGTAATTAAGAAATGCTTTATTTACCTTTGCACCCGGCATAGCTAAGTTGTTTTTCAGAGTGAGGGACAACTCTATTTTACCACCAAGGCTCCCAACCTGCACAGGTTCAAAGGGTGTTGTAGAGGATACGGGCTCTGTGAACTGGGGATGAGGCTCACATATTATTTTGGGATTCCAGCTAGGAGAGAGCTTTGGCTCCGTTTCCTGCAAAATAAAAGATTTTTTTAAGGCGTATGAATGCAATTCTTTTCTGCCATGTTTACGAGACTGACTATACCAACCGTTTGAGTGGGTGAAGATTTACAACCAGCACGGGACACATCTGAGAATTCATTCCAAAATATGGAAATGCCTTCCATCTGCAGGTTTTTATGTGCAAATGTGGTTGGCTGATGCACATTCACACTAGAACTCTCCTCGCCTGTTTCATCACAGTAAACAATCCTGAAAGCAACCACAGAACACAATTAGCTTGACAGGGACCTGCATTATGAAAGGGAAAACTAATGGATCACATGTACTACATATTAGGGGCATCTTCCACACATTTAGCTGCAGCTCTTTTTACCATTCACAAATAATTAAAAGAAAAAAAAAAATGGATTATAGCGTTCAACTAGACTTTGATGTTAAACAATGCTTAGAAAATTTTGGAGAGTTGTCCCATTGACTGTCCAAACTTACTTATTGACTCGAATCTCAAGGGCGATTCCAGTTTTAGAATTTTCTGGAATGTGTTCTACTCTGAGAACAGTATCCAAAAATGTCACTTTAACTCTTCTCAGAACTGCAAGATAAGGAATTAAAAAGAAATTACTTTATAAAACACTAGGCTGGTTAACCTCTTGTCACCCAACAGTATAGACATAATGTACCTGTCTCTATCGTTTCTGCAAACTTCTCTAAACCCTCAAAAGGCTGGAAGCTCTCTCCCATATCGTCAGTGAGTTTCTGGCTCAGACATTCTTTGGCAAGCTGCATGCTGCTCGTCATGAAACTGGACCAGTACATGGGCTCAGTTCCAGATGCTGGAAGAATAACCAGTTGTGACTCAGTCATTTACTTTTCAGTAAAATTAGCTGTCAACTTGTTCACATGTGACAAAATGACAACATGTTCTTTCAAGGCTCTATCTAAAACCTTTTCACAGATGGTAGTAATGTAGTGGGACACCATGCACTCTCTCCTTACCCACTCTTGGTCTTGGTCTGAGAACCATCTGCAAACCCTTGACCTCTAGGGCACAGTTTTCCTGCAGCAGTGCTGCCCATGGGACAGTTAAAGAAATTGTCTGGATGAACCCGGTGATTACCTCAAAAGGAGCATCTGCTGTCTCTAGGAGCTCATTGAGTGACTGAAGAACAAGAAACAATGGTGAAGCTCCTCTTAGTCCATGCAGATTATGTGTTTAAGTCAAATACATATATCTATTGTTTTTGCTGCCACAAAGGTAAACATATACATACCCATTTATCCAATGGCACTTGTGCAAGTGAACCAGTGCCTTGATAGAGGTCTAAACTGAGCTGATCCAAGCTCAGTTTCTCCTGCAGAAAGTTGCCAAGGTACCGATGCAGAAGGTATCTGCAGGCCCGCTTTTTGATGGACTCCGAAAATGGCCAAGGCATCTTAAATTAATAGGTTAACAGTACACGGGTAATAAAAGGGATCTTGAGGTTCTGAAAGTGGAATGCTGTAGCTACTCAGACAGCTATGAATTTATTACTGTTGTTACAGTTATGTCATCCTGTCGACTTGAAGACATTGAGAAATCTTGAGCTCAACCACCCTTTATATCCCAAGATTAGGGACACTTTAGAGGATGTGTTGACACTCAGGGATATGTGTGGGAATTGGTCCGACTCCAGTTTGCTGCGCCTATGGAAAGACACACATATGTTGCTCCCTGTGTAATTTGACACTACAACATAAGACTTTACACAATATGTTTACAACACAGCCGAAAACAACAAGCTCCATTAATGTGTCAGTTTAAGACAGATACAGGTTTAGCTCATGAGAAGCCAATACAGTGAAACATAAAACGTCCTGATAATGTTAGTGTTATTCTAAGAGACAGAGCAAACTAGCCAAACGCACTTGCGAAATAACTGTTAGCATGCCACAGACTTGCTAGTCAACAGCTACCCTTAGCTAACGTTATGTTTACTTAAACAGAACTGACATCGTAGTCATGAGACAGGAGCTGCGCTTTGACTACTCGCTGACAAAGGCATGTCATTTAGCTAACAAGCCGGCTAGTAGCTGTAAAGCTAGCGCCTTTAGCTAGCCTATGATGAACTACTCTTGTCGGCAGAGTGAGGAAACATTAGCCTAGCCGGCTAAAGCCAGGTTAAGGTTGTAGCGGTACATGCTCGCTAGTTAGCTAGCTTGCTAACCTAAAATCCAACATTTCTCAAGTTATCTGTCCTCACGCGTGAGATGTACACTGCAAAGAAATACTACACATATAAACCTCTGTGCGATATGGTGACACGCATGAGTAAGTTAACAGAGTTGAAAATATTAGTGCAGCTCTTAAGTTACCTTCTGACTGCGTTGTTTACAAACACTTTCATGACTCCGCAACTGAGCCCACACACTCCGGGGTGGGATTAGCCAATGATGTCATAACATGGCGGAACTGGGTAGTGCACGGGGCAGTTATTGGGGTCAGGGTTTATTTAAGGTACTTATTTAGACACAAAGCAGATAGTGACTTCAGTTTGTGTTTTTCCACAAATCTGAGCCTCTGTTATTTATCTAACGTTAGCCGACGCTTATTTGTCTGAACCTTCTCTACGGAGAAACCCGAGTGGACTCGAAGGTTCCACAAGCCGGAAGAACACAAGCAGCGAGGAGGTGAGAAAAATGAACGCAGTTTGGTTAGAAATCATTATTGTAACACAATCAGATCAAACGTGTGACTCTCGGTTTTTTAATTATATGTCATATGCAGAGTTTAACATAACATAAACAGAGGGATTGTTAAATACACAAAGGGGTCTATTATTTTGCAACCGTTTAATAACCATTGGCTTTGTTTTCCTAGAGTTTAACGTTAACGTTACGTTACACCAAAATGTAGCAAGTGTTAGCCATTTAAGTTTGCTTCGATAGCTCAGTTACCTATATGAATTACCCGACTTATAACATTTGCACGAAACTCCCACTCCCTCGTTGATTTAATACTATGATATCTATGAGGACAGTAACCTGACATATTTTGCCTCAGCCAGCTACACATAAATGCTACACAGAGTCCTCAAGATGTCGCTGTGATGTCGAGCTTTTTCATTGTACATGTCGCGTTAAGGTTATTACGTTAGCTGTGGACGGTAATAAAGGTGTAATATTAGCAGTAATAGAAAGTAACACATTTACTCAAGTACCGCATTTCAGTACAAAGTTGAGGTACTTAAATATGTCAATTTCCTACTTTATACTGCCACTTCACTACAATTCATAGTGAAATATTGTACCTTTTTACGCCACTGCAGTAATAAGCTGTACTTTTTACTGGTAACTTTACAAATTAGGATTCTTACACAGAAAACATATGTTCATCTCATTATATATTATGCACATTTATAGATTAAAACTACTGAACACAAAAATATAAATATTTATAAATAAAATATTTAAAATCAGCTCCACCTCAACCAACTAGCCTTCATCAATAAAATACCAAATACACATTGATGCAACAATAAAAACCCAGTAATACAATATATAATAATATACAGTAACGCTCACAGGGCCATTTTTCTGTATTGAAATCTTTTACTTTTGATACAAGTACAGCAGTACAACTTGCTGATCATACCTCTGTACTTTAACTTAAGTAACACTTTCAATGCAGTGTTTTTGCTTGTAATTTAGTATTTCTTTCATTGTGTTATTGCTGCTTTTACTTAAGGAGGATCTAAATACTTACTCCACTACGGAATTGAGGTGTAGATAGCAAACATTATTGAAACTATGTTGAATCAGCATTCTGCTCTCAACGCTAATTTAATTGAATTAACATCAGACTCTGATGTTGATTTATCATCATTTTGCACTATATTTTAATATTGAAACAATATTGAAATCTTAGCTAACTAAAATATGACTTCAATGTTCAACCAATATTACTACTGAAACAACGTTGAAATCAAAGCCTAACTAACAATCAACGTGGCTTCAGTGTTATTTCAACCAATATTAAACCACAGAAAAGAGACTATAATATATTAAAAATGTATAAATGACAACGGACAATTTAATCAGTTAAAAAATACAAGTTTATTTATGGAATAAAAAAAAAAATTATTCACTACTCCTGTTCTGCTCTGTCCACCCATCAGGTCTGGAGCATAGGAAGCCACTTTTGTGCTGCCTGGGCAAATTCAAAGACTTCTGTCCCCATTGATTCAGTCAGGGCATCTATAACAGAAAACATACAAACAAAACAACTTTCAGTAGTGAAAAGGATGTGAAGATGAACAATGTCAGTCTGGCTGAATTGGTGCTATATTATTATATATATATATATATATATAACAGTTAACTTACTTGAATTCACTAATGTTACTAATTCGCCAGGTTATTGTAGATGTAGACTGCTGGCTGTGGTGGAATCCATTGATGTTTATAGCTTAACATTATTTAAATTGTCTAACATTAAATGCAGTCATAGATTGAATCTGGAGGCTGAAAGCTGTAGAAGACTGACAGATGTATCAAGTCAGCTACCTTATTTAAAGTTAAATGACAGGGGCATTAGCTAGGATCAGTTACGAGCATGAGAAAGGTGTGCATATATTTCGCAAAGCACTCAAAATCTGAGCAAAGTACTTCTGGTAATAAAGTTAGCATTTATACTAGCGAAGAAACTTATCCTAATACGATGGAGCTTGGATATTGTGCTATTTGTCAGTATAAAATAGTATTGAAACACTTTTATATATTCTATGACATATAATGTTAGACAATGTCAATAAACGATAAATGTCCACAAATTTGGTACAATTAAACTTTAGATAAATAAAAATGTGCTTACCTGATGTGGACTTGTGACATGTGTGGGGCTCAGGAATGTTGATTCACCAAGCGATGGTCTCCCGGTCAACAATACTGCATTGACTTTTCAATCATATTTCCCAGTCAACTATAAATCCATGGCTTTTCAATATCACGTCATTTCCCAGTCAAATATAAATAGATGACTTTTCAATCATGTTTGCCGGTCAACTATAATTCAATGACTTTTCAATCCTATTTCCCAGTCAGCTAGCTGTAACATAATAAAATAATCAAATACCACACAGTGAAACACTGGTCTATTCTAATGAAGCATGCAGGGTGAAACAGTAAACAAAGTAAAATATCAAATTTCCATCACACTATAAATAGATGACTTTTCAATCATATTTACCGGTCAACTATAATTCAATGACTTTTCAATCATGTTTCCCTGTCAACTATAAATCAATGTAATTTCTGGTCAACTATAAATAGATGATTTTTCAACATTGTTGTTGTTACCTAGTCAACTACAAATCAATGCTTAATCAAGTATAATCGGGACAACTATAAATCAATATTATTCCAATGTCACGTTCATACATGGTCGTTTCTTATTGGTATTGCAATACTGATTCAACATTTATTTAGGGTTTAAATTTCAATCTCAACCATTCTGATGATTCAGATGGAAAATCAATATTTATTCAATGTAGTCGTGCTATCTGGGAGGTGTTCAACTAACGTTTATTCTGTTTAGCCAAAAAGAAAAAAAACCCGGGAGAAATATCTATTTTTTTATATTCCTGCTAACAGTAGTTGGCTAGCTGAAAATTTATATATATATATATTTTTTTTTTTTAACTTGGAGAAAAAATATCTATTAATATCTCTATTTAATACTAACCTGCCTATTCTTAGTTGTAAAAATTGTCAAAGTCAGATTTTGCGGTCGTCCAATAAACTTGAAGTCCACAGTTACTGGCACTGTGTGTTTGTTTAAAATACAAAAACAAAGGAAAACAATAAAAATGAAAGATCCACTGTGTTCTACTTTGAACAGCCACTTCAGGTCCCTTTTACTTAACTTTACCAGTGGTCACACTGATGTGGGCTCATTGCCCTTAAAGCCAACAGAACGAATGATTACATCACCCACACGTGAAGCAACTGGCTCAGCTGATGTGTGAGAAAAAGGCTCATGCACACAGAAGAATGCTCCTTGACATAAATGTGGCAAAACAAGATTCAACCTGTTCAACAAACACACAAATGCTATGGTGTACAAATAGTGAATGTGTAGACATGGAACAGGTGTTACTTTGAGTAGTTTAATTACATGGAGTACATGGACAGGTGTGAACACAGTGCAGGACTGTATTCATCAGAAAACATGGATAAACAGAATATACATACATTTTTTCAGCAGAAAACTCTGCTGTACCACAAGACTGGGATTATATGGCAACTGGTCCGCCAACTGGAATTCACCTTACCACAGCAGCAGCTATCAGCTCTCACCTGTTTTAAGCATTTTTAGGATGAAAGCATTTTTAGGAGATTTGGCTAAGTAGGGACCGGTTTAGGGGAAGAAGGAAATCTCTGAAAGTTTTTTCCCTCAGTCTGTGTTGAACACTGATAATTGGTTGGGGAATACCTCATCATACCTCAGTCATCTCATTGACACTTGTGTAATGTTATTTTACATGTAGCAGCTACATTTAGTTCAGCAACATGATACTTAAGTTCCTTAAATTGGTTGAACCTTTCCTCTCACAACCAAGTACTCATAAAGGATGTTCTATATAAAAATCGTCCACACAAAAAAGGAATCACATTACAGTCAGATGCTTCTTTTGTTTCAGTTCTCCTTTTTTCTTTAGAGGACGGGCCTTTAGAAAATAAAGATACCATTACTGCAGCTCAACAAATATCTATATTTAAAGGTTTATGACCAGATGTTAAAGGTTTAGTTTAAAAGACATTCTCTTAGTTTACTTCTTACTCAATACTTAACAGGAGTGTTGTAGTCCAATGAATGTAGTTAGTTGCCATGACAGTTGAGAACTGCTTGTTCTGACACAGTCCTAGTGAACTTTTCTGAAGTGTACTCAGTGATTGTTGACATGTAGAACTTTTTATATTATTGTGTCAGTTTAAAGTCCTACAGTAACATATGGGCTTCAGCTGAATCAGTCAATAACATTGTTGATCTGTTTTTAGGGGATGGAGATAGATTGCCAGCCCGAGGAATCCATCATCACTTCATTTGATGAGGACAGTGTTGAGCTTGGTGACGTCAAGGACATGAGACTGGAGGCAGAAGCAGTTGTCAATGACGTGCTTTTCGCCGTCGCTGAAATGCACGTGTCACAAAGTCTCAACAATGCGTCAGACGTGGCCTACATAAACGTGGAAACAAGAGAGGGAAACCGGTATTGTCTGGAGCTCACAGAGGCAGGGCTAAGGGTAAGATGCACCAAAAGTGAGACGCTTAGATTTCTTGTTTTATTGCTCATTGTGTGTGCTCAATGCTTCAGTCCACAAGTCATGCTAAGTTTTACAATAAATCCCTCTAACAGGTGGTGGGCTATGCCTTCGATCAAGTGGACGAGGATTTGAGCACCCAGTATCATGAGACTGTTTACTCACTTCTGGACACGCTGAGTCCGGGTTACAGAGAAGCCTTTGGGAACGCTTTACTCCAGCGGCTGGAGAGGCTGAAGCAAAACGGACAATAAAAAGGAACAATATGCTGCAAAAGTTGTACAAGCAGAGTAGAAGTTGATGATGTGGGTGTACTTGGATATGAGCTAATAAAAAACCATGTCTGGTCAAATACTATAGCTTATTATGCGACATCCTCCTGCCTAGCTACCACTATGATAAGGGGTACCCTGCCCTATCAACTTTACTTTGTTCTGACTTTCATATCATCAAAAGACTTCATGTTAGTTACTTAAGGTTAGTGACTGCCAGGGATTGGCTGTATGGAGTCTGTTGCAACATTGTGTTGTTGACTTTACTGTGGAAAGATCTTCTGGCTTCCGCATGTTAGAAATTTGTAACTGCGCACATTGATTGAGAATTTTCACCTTTTGTACTCCTCAAAATGATCTGAGAAAGAAGCAGCACGTTATACTCTGCAGCTGTCCCAGTGAAAGAGCTAAATGCTGTATTTTTCAGCATAAGTCATATACACTGCCTTAATGACTGACTTTTGGTAAGATGAGTACACGTAACTTAATTTGTTTTACCCATTTTGTATTGAGAGATTAATAGGTATTTTGTGGCGCTGTGATTTGACTTGGATCATGATGTTGGAAAAATAATTTGAAAAGTGCTATGTCTCATAAAATAACTGGTACTGTACTCAATACCAATTAAGTGTTTGGATATTACTTATTTTTCCTCCATGCTGTATAGTGTAAAAGTAAAGATGCCATTCTTGTGGAGGTTTAAATATACATTTAATCTTCAAGTTTTTGGTTCATTTTGCCAGCATCTACAGCATTTGTTGGAATGACCGAGCTTCTGTGCAATGCTTGTTTATTGTACATGTGACCTGGTTTTGAAATCCAGTTTAAGAACTTTTGCATTCATACCATTCTTCCTTGCTGCTGGCCTTTGCTCAGACCAATAAATTCTCAGAAGTGTCATCAGTCTTCATTTTGCTTCATGAGTACCAATCCCCAAATGTGTAACAGCAGACAAGAGTACACATTAATCAAGGTGAGGTTTTGAAGTAGATGTTTAGTCTTACAGTGTTATCTAGCAAGGCAAGCTTACTTTTACGAGTGTAGTTATTTCCTCCCTTCTGCACAGCCTGCATTGTCAAGTGCTGCTTTTTTTTTTTTTTTTAAATAAATAGTGTGTATCAACAAGTCTGACAGGTTGTAAAGTGCCATAGTTTATCAAACACAGTGACACTTGAATACATATTAGATTTCTTTATTAGAATTTTTTTTTTTCCATATTCCAGTTCCACATGTCTTGTGGTACAAGGTCAGTGAGAAATTACAAAAAAAAAAAAAAAGGATAGTGTGCACCTTTTCTGACTACACAGCAGCCAGTAAAACAAGACATTTGCACTGTTAGGGAATGTAGTTCGGGGTCATTAACAAACATTAACCGCATTATTTCCACATACACAACTCTTAAAATTGACTGTTAGAGGATCATGGAAATATCAGTTTATTTAAGCAGGTTTCAAGATGTGTGTGCGCGCAGCAAAGTCTTGCAAACTAGTGAAAGACATGCATCTTTAAAAATCAATTTGATGAATGAATAAAATTAGATCTTAACTACAGTCATTTACATTCTTTAGGTTTTTACTCCATGCTAAATCCCTTTTTAAAAAAACCAAACAAAAAAACAACCCCAAACACACCACTTTAGAGGAGGAGGTACTGTTGCTAGTTTAGCTCACAATCTGAACTGGGAACTTGATGCAGAACAAGTCGTTTTTGTTGTCATCTTTCAGTTCCCACTCCACCGTCAGCTTTATCTAGAAATGAAAAAGAGTGAACAAGGTGTGCTTTAGATATCTCACCTTTAAAAAAGAGAAGTTTGACAAAGTGGGTGAAACTTTGAAGCAACAAAAAGGGTAAAAGAAAAAAAGAGAAAACCCCCACATCTGTTTAACAGATGTCTGACAATCCAGAGAGACATAATGTCATTAGGTTAATGTAGACAACACATTTCCTCAAGCAACACTGACATTTCATTACCAGTCCAACTGTCCAGATATGTGGGTCAAACTTTGTACCTATTAACTGTAAATGCAGGTACTGTAATACAAGTGAAACAAGTCCTTAGATCTTTTACTTTTGGTTGGTCACTCAATGTACAAAATATTGATGTCACCACCACTGTCTAATTTCCAGTGGTGGAATATAACAAGTATGTACACTACCGTTCAAAAGTTTGGGGTCACATTGAAATGTCCTTATTTTTGAAGGAAAAGCACTGTACTTTTCAATGAAGATAACTAGTCTTAACTTTGAAGAAATACACTCTATACATTGCTAAATGTGGTAAATGACTATTCTAGCTGCAAATGTCTGGTTTTTGGTGCAATATCTACATAGGTGTATAGAGGCCCATTTCCAGCAACTATCACTCCAGTGTTCTAATGGTACAATGTGTTTGCTCATTGGCTCAGAAGGCTAATTGATGATTAGAAAACCCTTGTGCAATCATGTTCACACATCTGAAAACAGTTTAGGTCGTTACAGAAGCTACAAAACTGACCTTCCTTTGAGCAGATTGAGTTTCTGGAGCATCACATTTGTGGGGTCAATTAAACTCTCAAAATGGCCAGAAAAACAGAACTTTCATCTGAAACTCGACAGTCTATTCTTGTTCTTAGAAATGAAGGCTATTCCATGCGAGACATTGCTAAGAAATTGAAGATTTCCTACAACGGTGTGTACTACTCCCTTCAGAGGACAGCACAAACAGGCTCTAACCAGAGTAGAAAAAGAAGTGGGAGGCCGCGTTGCACAACTGAGCAAGAAGATAAGTACATTAGAGTCTCTAGTTTGAGAAACAGACGCCTCACAGGTCCCCAACTGGCATCTTCATTAAATAGTACCCGCAAAACACCAGTGTCAACATCTACAGTGAAGAGGCGGCTGCGGGATTCTGGGCTTCAGGGCAGAGTGGCAAAGAAAAAGCCATATCTGAGACTGGCCAATAAAAGAAAAAGATTAAGATGGGCAAAAGAACACAGACATTGGACAGAGGAAGACTGGAAAAAAGTGTTGTGGACATATGAATCCAAGTTTGAGGTGTTTGGATCACAAAGAAGAACGTTTGTGAGACGCAGAACAAATGAAAAGATGCTGGAAGAATGCCTGACGCCATCTGTTAAGCATGGTGGAGGTAATATGATGGTCTGGGGTTGCTTTGGTGCTGGTAAGGTGGGAGATTTGTACAGGGTAAAAGGGATTCTGAATAAGGAAGGCTATCACTCCATTTTGCAACGCCATGCCATACCCAGTGGACAGCGCTTGATTGGAGCCAATTTCATCCTACAACAGGACAATGACCCTAAACACACCTCCAAATTGTGCAAGAACTATTTAGAGCAGAAGCAGGCAGCTGGTATTCTATCGGTAATGGAGTGGCCAGCGCAGTCACCAGATCTGAACCCCATTGAGCTGTTGTGGGAGCAGCTTGACCGTATGGTACGCAAGAAGTGCCCATCCAACCAATCCAACTTGTGGGAGCTGCTTCTGGAAGCGTGGGGTGCAATTTCTCCAGATTACCTCAACAAATTAACAGCTAGAATGCCAAAGGTCTGCAATGCTGTAATTGCTGCAAATGGAGGATTCTTTGACGAAAGCAAAGTTTGATGTAAAAAAGATCTTATTTCAAATACAAATCATTATTTCTAACCTTGTCAATGTCTTGACTCCATTTTCTATTCATTTCACAACGTATGGTGGTGAATAAGTGTGACTTTTCAGGAAAACACAAAATTGTTTGGGTGACCCCAAACTTTTGAACGGTAGTGTACATTTATTGAATTATTGTCCAAATTAGATACTTGCCCTTTAGCATTTTGTGGCAATTCACAAGTGTTTTTTGGTAACTTTTTTTAACACAAGTATACTGCTAATACTACTTTTACTTATAATGGAGCATCTTTACACTGTAGCTGTTTGCAGACTCAGACGTACTTACTGGGGGATACTCAGACTTCACAGGAAGAGAGTTCTGATAGTGATACTGCTGCCCATTCTGGATGGGACACTGAATTCCAGACTTGCAGCCATCTTCGATGGGAATGGGGAAGGGGACTGGTACTCCTGCAATAATACCATGAACCAACGCTGTGCTTGTCTGGCTCTCCACAGCTACAACACAGAACATGAGAGATCAGAAGTTAAAACAAAAACCACCACATTTGTTACAACTCTTTGGGAAAGATACTGCTACAACATATAGTTCCCTTACCACTTTTGAAGGTCACATTGACACTGTAGGACTGCCCTTTGTGTAGCTGGCATGGCTGACTGACACAGGGGTTAATGTCCACCATGACCACTTCGCCAGCAGAGGAGCCTGAAGAGAAACATGGGAAAATTATAATTGTTATTCAAGGGAGGTAGACCTCCCCCCACCCCCCTAAAAAAAGTAATGCTAATATTTATGCCATAACGCATGTTAAGTGTAAAAACATTCTCATTAGAAGTGACCAACATATTACAACACAGTAAATCTACAAATGGCTGCTTCATGCTTAATGGCAGTGGTTCTCAAAGTAGGGTTCAGCGACCCCCCAGGATTCCTTGAGGGGGTTCAAGGGGATCCCTAGCTAAAAGTTGACAAAAATTTAACAGAAAGCATGGCACATATAAAACTTTTTTTTCAAATATAATTCCATAAGTACCACAGTGACAAATTTATAAAAACATGTAAAATGTATCACACATAAATATGGTGATACATTTTCCATAATAAAACCTCTAAAAGCAAAAACCCTATCAGATGGGGGTCTGTGGTCCAATTTGTGTCAGTTGAGGTCCTTGACATGAAGTTTGAGATGCACTGATTAGGGAATCCATTATAGGCGGAGTAACTAATTACATTTACTAAAGGACGAAAGTCACTAATCACTCCAGGTAGGGCTGGGCAATAAAACATTATAGGGATACAAGTTCCCCCTCAACAACAATATAACAAATGTTTGATTTAATTCATTTGGACAACAAACTAGCACTATTTTTCTATTAAAATATTTTGATGAGGAAAAAGGGACAAAAATTGCATATTTGTTAAAAGATTTTATAATTGATTTGAGTGTTCTACTTCAGATTTGTTAAGTGATCCACTATTTGGCAAGTGCATGGCATGTTCTGACGATACAGTAGTTTAAAACCACAATTAGCCATCTGGTTTTGTCAGTGTTCACTCAGGAGCAACACATCGCCCATCCCTAATTCCAGGTTATGTTAGATGTAAATGTGGTTATATGAAAAGGATCATGATGGCGTTAAGAGTTGAATAATGTTAAAAATGTTTTCAGAACCATTCCGAAGCCTATCAAGCCATATAAACTGTCATAAAGATGTTTAACTTAGATTACCGCTTTTTCTCCTTTCAGTAAAAGGAGTACCTAGTACGCTTTGTCACCTTTGTTTCAACACAAATCTTTTAAATAAAAGTTGCTGACGACCACATTTACATTTATTCATTTAGCTAACACTTTTACCCAATAGCGACTTAGAATTGACATGTATGAGGATGTGTCACAGTGGGGAGTTGAACCCGGGTCTCACATCAAAGGCAGGCATCTTAACCACTGCCCCATCGCCACCCCATGAGTCATGGAAGACATGTTTTAGTTTCAGAAATCAACTTTACTGGCCAAGTATTAGGCATACAGACAGTTGACTCAAATTTTCAAATAACGAAGTCTGCTTGGATTAGTATTCTGAAAGTGTTCTGTGAAATTATTTTGGTATTAAGAGTGGATTACCTCAATCATGTGTTTTACATTCATTAAGTGGCCTAATTTCAAGACTATTTGACCCAACCTTATGTAAAACCTACTCATGTATGCTATAGGTTCATACAGCAATAAGTAATGATGCCATGTTAAATGTTTAACACATGTAGTTCAGTTTATTTGTCATGAGTTCTACTCAGCTGTGTAATATCCTCTGTGGAGAAGGAGAAAGCTTGACAAAGTCTAAAAACAATAACCCTTATGTCAACATCTTAGTGTTGCATTATGGGAAAGGATGACGCATTTTTGGAACTTGACCTATGATACTGACTAAAAAGTCTATATCTTGGACTCAGCTGCTTAAATTTGGACTACTTTAAGATCTGTCTCTAGTTCCCCAACTGAAGTGATTTACTACAAAGTTTCCAATTCAAATCAGGAATCTCCTAAGCAAACAATTCCTTAGTTCCGTAGTTACAGAAGATTTGGCGAAAGAATACAGACTAAGAATCAGACCAGTTTTTTTGTTGCATGGATCAATAACGAGCTGGGACTGTTACAAAAACAGACTGGGAGTTGTTGCAAAGTAAACGGCGACATGCACAGTACAAGTGTAGGCAGATGAGTGTTATTTGCACGGTACAGAATATTTTAATAAAAATATGATGTCAAAAACCTGGTCAGCAGCATTGTGTTTCTGCTTTGCAAGACCCAATCAGAGAGCCGAGCGTGAGCGGCTGCGTCATCGTTTCTAAAGTCCTCCGTTTTGGCCCGTCTTCACTTAAACGCCCTCCGGAGTTTTGAAACGCAAAACAGGGTCGGCAACGTTTCCAAACGTAGTAGTGTTGATGGGGCCTGAGAGAAAATTCCCAACCTCCTTTCCCACCCGTCCTCCTTGTAAATGATTGACTTGTAAACTAGTCAAAATAAGCAATTTCTAGTCATCTTTGTGTTTTGGGAAGCTGATGAGTGTGTTTCACTAGGTATCAAGATAGCGCATGTACAAGTAATGTTAAGTCAACTGATGTCACTATTTGGGTTTAGTTAAACACGTTTACTTCTACAAGACTCTTGACTAGTATTTAACTTGCCAACAGTTAGCCGTTTAACTTTAGACATAAGTAAATATTCTCATGAAGCCGGCCATGTGAAACTTACCGCAGTCGATGAATTTCACTGGATCCGCACAGGTGAATCCCATTAAGCAGAGCAAAACGATGAAACCAGTCTGGGCATCCATGTTTCTTTTTTGTGTGACCCTAAAACCTAAACAAATAAATGTTCATTATGTAACAGAAAAGTAAACTTCCGAAGACCTGTCTGACTTTAAGTCGTCAGTAATCATATGACTTCGTGTCTGTTTCCCCATCCCCAATGTCCCGAGCGTGGCAGTGATTACTACACAAGAAATACTCTTCGAATACCTGGCACTACAGTAAACAACATAAACACAGTGAGTCTACTAAATAAGTATAATACTAGAACGTATAAGATATAGGTAAATTAACAAACTATACCTTTATAGGTCCTCAGCCAGCTTTCAGAGTGTGAATGCTGACTACCTACTCCTTGCACTTTTTATTTCCTTGTATCACGCGACCCAAGTAACGCCTATTTAATGTTACAAGGCGTTTTTCTCGCCCGAGATTTAGCCTATCAGGACCGCTTTAGCGCAGATATCCCTCCTCCTGCGCTATAATTGGCAGATCAAAACCTCAAACACTAAACGAACGCGCTCATCTGTAATCTACATCTAAATGTTATAAATCTAAATTTTAAAACTATTGGTGGATCCAATAATACACTATAGGAGCGATGTACCTGAGAGGCAAAACCAAGGTATGTAGTTTTACAAGTACATCCGACGGGTGAAAACATAAATGCTTCCTGATTGGTGCACGGACTTATCAAACAACGATTTTAGCCAATAAGGATACCATATGTTCCTCGGCTCCGGTTGGGGGCGGAACTTGCCAACGTTTGTTGTGGAAAATGTCATTCGTGAGACGAGCCATGATAACTGCGTCAAAGTCAAAAGTATTGAGCCTTGCAAGGTAACGTTGATTTGTTGTATATCGTTCACATCTTTAGGGATCTCCATGATTAAAATCACACCCTGTAAGAAACTTCTCTGAGGAGGAAAAAAGCGGTGTGTTAGGTCGTTAGAACGCTAACGTTAGCCTTTGATGCTAAGTCCCCGTTAAGTAACATTAGGTAGTACTGGGGCCAGTAACGTTACAGGTCCTTCTGCTGTCATGCGATCTAATCTGAATGTTACGTTGATGTTTTGCAGGGCATCTACTCTTCTGAACAATCTCAATGTGAGCCATCAGTTACACCGGCCTCCTCAAAACCCCTTGCCCCTTTACACAGCAGGGTTTCAGCGTTTCAGCAGCGCCTCAGCCCAGGAGAAGCCAGCTGTGTCCGGTTCAGCTGAAGATAAAATACATCTCACTGAGTCATGTGTGAAGGTCTGCAGATACCCATGATTAAGCATCACACTCTTCTCATGCTGTATTTTCGAGACCTATCTGGGAAGCCTGGAAAGCTAAAAACTACACATGAAGCTGCTAGAGTGACAGATGAGTTAGTGAAGCTGTTTTGCAGGTGTGGGTATATTCGCGGGATGGACTTATTATCTGTGTAAAATGTCAGACATTTCATAAATTCTCCATCTGAGCCAGTGGAGCAGCTAAATAATGTCAGATCAGAGTCTTACTTTACTTATTCAAGATATTTCTTAGGGGGCTTAATTTATGTAACAGGGAAAGGTAAGACTGGTCAAGCTTGCAGTAATTTGCTGACCCCACAAGTGTTCACTGACCTTCCAGCTCTAGTTATTTCTCATATGTGTCCTTGTTAGGGAGGCAACAGTTACACTGATAAGGTAGAGACAGTAGCTCAGGCGTCAGGCTAGCAGATATCGGTGTTCTCTGGGAATCTTGGAAGGTTGAGTCTTACAAGGATGTTCACAAGAATTTACTGACTTCACAGATTAGAGTACAACTCATGGAATATATTCAAATATGACATATCATTGGAGAATTAACATCAGATCAGTCAGAAGCATTTCATGTTAAATCCCATTGCCTCACAGCCACTTTGGTAATGAATGTGCTGAACTGTTTTTTTTTGTGTGTATTCATGCTCATGTCCTCCCTTTTAATCCAGAGACTAGGGGAAATCATGGGGAACGGGGAGTACCTGAGAATACATGTAGAGGGAGGAGGCTGCTCTGGGTTCCAGTACAAGTTCTCTGTTGTTAGTAACAAGAATGAAGATGACAGGTAACCTGCAACAAATCTAGCTTTAAAGTTACTTTCTTCCCCGCTGGCCTCATTGTTTTTCCATATTGTCTATTAATCCAGTCAACTCTGTCCCATCCTGCCTTCACTCTGCTCTGCTTTCAGCTTGTTTGAGCAAGGAGGAGTGGGCGTGATCGTGGATCAGGACAGCCTGGAGTATGTGAAAGGAGCCACTGTGGACTTCACCCAGGAGCTGATCCGCTCCACTTTCCAAGTGCTCAAAAATCCTCAAGCTGATCATGGCTGCTCCTGTGGCAGCTCCTTCTCTGTCAAACTATGACCTTGTTTCCCTGCTTCCCTGTGTCAATATTACTTAAAACCCTGATTTACCAGTTTATTAGAATATTAGAGACACTTGTTAATATAATTCATTCTAACTATTTCAGCCTAAACAATTGCCATAGAGATTCTTCAACACCTTTCTGACACAATGTCAACAAAAACTTGACATAGATAAAGATAGAATTTATTATATGGTTATATTACGGATTGCCTATAACAGTAAACAGGTACCTAATAAACTGGTAACGCAGGGCATAATGTGATATTGGACTTTCTGATACATTGAATTCTTAATTTCAGTCACTAATAGCTACACCTAGTGTCACAGAGAAACCGGCCGATAATCATTTTCCTAGAAAAACAGGGTGTTTGTTTTTAGGTGTGAAACTACTTGAACGGGATGAAAGGCAGAGGTATTGATTAATCATTGTGCTGTTTTGCAGTTAATGAGTGGAGAATGCTCACTGACCGCTTGTTCATGTTAGTCATCTGTGATTTGTCATGTATTCAAACAACAGTGCTTAGATTTGCCTTTGTGTGTAAAATATGTAAATAGACATATCTATGAAGAGCTAAGATGTATTATTTGTTTCACATAAAATAAAACAGTGAATTTCAGACGTGTATATCTGTAGTCATTTCAATGTATTATATGCAAATTGGTGTGTGTCCAAAAACTTGATGTAAGTGAGGTTGTTTTTTGTTATCTCATGATGCGCTTCCTGATCACATTAGAATGATGAAAGGGCAGCCAGAAAGTGTTTATATATATATATTTTTTTTTCAAAAGGTTAGTTAAAGTGTTAAAGTTATTATTCGAAGTTTAAAACTCAAGTTAATGGTTGCCTTTTTTTTTATTAAAGTGGAGTTTAAGAAACATCTCACAAAAAATATACAAAAAGAATATATACAAATGATATTTACACTGGTATAATGTAAATCAAAATATGCAGCAACATTTTTTGTAGTTAGTCAGTAGTTAGGAACAAAATGTTTTGCACTTTTCATATTTTCTCTCTGATAAAACATTCCATTTAAGCAATATATCCGATTACACAAAACAGGAACTTACTGTCACACCATTCATATTCATGAAAATGCGACCATAATACATCATAGCAGCACACTGAAAAGTGACCAGAAGAATTGCAACAGTGCATTGAAACATCAATTTAAGCAGTTTTGGAGGAATTAGGTTCGGACGGATTGTCTTCCAGGAAACCATGCACACCCACTAACCACAAACAAGTCCTCAAACAAGTATGCACACGTTTAACATGTCATGAGGGGAACACTGCCAAGGGAGGTTTGACGTCAACCAATCAACAACACATAACACACCATAAATGAACTGTCAGGGTAACACAGTGACCAGGTCAGGTGTACAGTGCATAGTATGCTTTGGCATGCTGACATCCAGAACATAACAGTGGATGTTACATTCAGGAGAAGGCCACGGGATTTGGAATTACCAGTAAAAATAGAACAAATGACTACATGATCCAAAAAGTAAAACCAACATAATACAAAAAGAATCCAAACCCTCATAAATTGAACACTCAGATTAAGGCTAATTCAGTTTGCTACATGTTTTTAAAAAATGGCATTGTCAGAAACACAATTTCTTAGGCCTGCCAAGTGACAAAACTGCCATTTGGGACACAGATAACGCTCATTCTTAAAAAAAAATAATCCATCACTGAAATGATATGCACATACTGTATTAGAGAGATGTATTTTTTTCATTGATGATGTGAATGTCGTGAGAGCAGGGCTGTATACCCTCCGCCTGTGTTCACAATCAAGACTGATGCTGTGATGAAAATGAGCCTTGCACATATGCATGCACCTAGTTTTGAGGCAGTAAGTCAGATCGCCACTCCATTTACAAGCTGCCAGGTCTGTCCTCCTCCTCCTCCTCGTTTAAATGCGTCCTTAAGCAGAATCGTTTCTCATGCTGGGAGACGCCCAGACTTTCCGAGGCAGGTGTGGTCCTCAGTGAGGGGCATGGACGCACCTCCATACAAAGAGGCTAGAAAGGGAATAGAGATATTGACGCATCGCTTAATATTTGATTGTCATATCATTTGTAAAAAAAAAAGTTTTTGGAGTCTCAGTCGTACCTTCGGTCATCTCCACCAGCACTAACGACGAAGCGATCTCCATTAGTGAAGCGCACATTAGTCAGGTGTGCAGAATGCCCCAGAAAGCGTTTGTGTTTGGCCTAAAACAGATCACACACACACACGTATCATCCAAGCGGCACCTTTTCAAACTACAGTCAACAAACACGGACATATATACAGTATATTACAGTGCACATAAGAATATCAGAGCATGTGACAGTTCCAGTTAAAACTGTTAAGTCATCATGGAGTCCTCATTTAACCTCCGTCACGTAAAATCTAGTTTTTCTGTAAGTGAAAAGAATGAGGGAATAATGGTCACAAGTTGAAATGTGATGGTTTTGAACAGGTATATTAAAAACAACACACTACATTAATGGCCTTTTTATAAATACCACCACTGCGGGGCATCAAAGTCAGTCATTTTCAAACTCTACACAGAGTGACTAAGAAAGGTGCAGAGAAAAATATCACACTTAAAACTACCATCATTATACAAATGGTAAACGTATAAATATTACTGTCATAATAAATAAAATAAAATGGTAATAATGATATTATGCAATCATACTTACAAACTTCTCTGGACATGGAAAGTCAAACAGCTTTACCATTCCAAAGTCATCGCCTGTGACGATGTTAAGGCCCGAGTGGGACACACAGGCACAGGTGACGTCGGCTTTGTCTGTGTTGCGGGACCAGATCCCTATGACCTCGTCCCCAAGGACACTGGATACAAAGAGAGATCAATTACACTTTTGCCTTAGACTCTGCTCTTCAGCCATTACCTTTCCAACATACATGTGTTAGTCTTAACACTCTACTCTCACCTTGTCCAGGTGGCCCAGGTAATCCTGTCGATATGGGACTGCTCTGTGACCTGCTTCCCGGACGGCACCTCGTACACGAGTCGTTTGTAAGCACCTGTGGAAATCTGTTTTGAGGTATTGGAGGTTAGCAAT